TGAGAGGACTCTGGGAACTGAATTGGTGCAGTGCTGTATGATTTTTGAGCTTATCACCTTGTGATAGATTTCTATCTTCTTACAATGATTAATAATCTTCTATGAGCACTGACCTGCTACAGTGACCTGGATGCCTCCTCTGACTAAAATATCAGCTGTTATGGTAAATTCCATTTCCTCTGCCCCAGGGGCAAGAAACACACACGCTTTCTTAGCCATGGTCTTACACTCTGAAAACTGTTGACACCTGCTTTGAGAATGTGATAAATTAATTTTTACTTGAAGCAAAGCCTCTCAATCTATTATGCAATGCTTTTTAAAAACCAGGTACATCATGTTTTTGACCAACGCATCAAATGGAGAGATCATAGATCTAATAATTTTAAATAAAAGAATCTTAAAACAGCGCTCGTAATATGTATTAAACTTTCTCAAATGTGTGTTCTCGGCAGCCAAAAGCAATAAAAAATAAGCTCTGAAGGTCTTCCATATACATAAATCTAAACCGCAGTGCCACTGATAAGTAGACAAAGCATTGTAGGAGATACACAAGCAAAACAACGATCTTGATAAAGCTTATGTCAGATAATAGACTCCACAGGGCCCCCAAAAATAATATAAAAAAAATCCCGGCGTTATGATATCGAACTTGCCCTTGTTTATCAAACTATAAATAGTTTTATAGCACTATCCACATCTTGCTTTCAGTTTATCACATTCTATCAATACTTTAGAGCAAAATATGTGGGTTTTTACCTTTGATTCGTAAATATTCTTCCTCCTAGCACCGGCAAAACAGCTCGAAAACCTTTTATCAACATATGAGCATTTCTGTTGATCTTTATTTGACATTGACATGTTAGCATATGATCTATGATGGGGTAACAGCCATCGGTAGATACAGCCACAGAGCATGTAGAGTAGATACCGTAGACAAAAAACATCGAGAGGAAATATTTATTTTGTGTTCCACGCTATGCACATGGTGACATGATCAACAAAATGCCTTTTTTTCATTTTCAATATATTTTTAAGTTCAAGGTCATAAGTTATTTTTACATTAATTTTTTATTAACGTTATTTTATGTTGAATACAATTGTAGGAGAGGGATGTTTTGAAGTGGTTTACTTACATACAATTTAGAATATATTATTTATTATAATGCTTTTTCAGTCCTTTTTCTAATTTCTGCATTTATGTCGGGCCTTTTCTTTTCTTCATGTACCATAGGTTTAATTAGATGATTGCTGAAGTGGAGAATCACTGCTATCCCTCCAAGAAGTCCCACTAGTAAAACCTTCTTTGAAGGCTGATAGCTCATATTTTCAGTTATTTTCTTTTTATAAAACCACTATCCCGTGACTGATGAGTCTTGAAGGAAATAAGCTAACTTTTTTATAGTACATATACGGGACTCGAATTTATACACCCTGTAGGTATAAAAGATTCAAAGTGGGCAAAATAGTTTTCAATAGTGAGCTGATCTACTTACAATATCTCAATAGAACTATGCAACTATGGTTGATGAAATGTGAATATCCAGTCGCAATCCCACAACCAGATATTTCTCTTGAATCGTTCAGCACTTGCACTTACATATAAGGCGTATTCTTTAATTCACCGGTGCAACCAATTATTGGTTGCACGTGACCTCAACCGGTGAATTAAAAAATACGCCTATAGATCTCGGATGCTGCTTGTTCAGAAACGGCTGCAAATGCGCCAGAAAATGCGAACCAAAATCAAATCCAAGCGAATAACCAAAATTTCTGTGTTATGTGCCGCGGTTATAATATGGTTCAAGATGACACACGGGTTGATGACGTCAGTTACACGAATCGCCTGAACGCGTTGGTTTTAACCGCGGTTTTGTTGCAAGTTGTTTATTTTAGAGAAGCGCGTATATAATCTCTGATTATTTTTATTATCACTTAATAATCGGTGCTTTTTCGTCTACAACTGTATATGGAAAGTTTAAATAAGAAACCTTTCATAATATTCATGGGAGAAATGTTTTTTTCAGATTTTTTTTAAATGATGTACCATGGCTTTGTAGCTATGATAACTTTCAATTCTCTAAATTTTTCCGCATGTCAAAGAAAACATTTATTGATTCAGCAGAAATGATGAAAAAAGAAATTAGCAAAACCGTATACAGGTGGATATCATCTAGTGAGTTTATATGGCCATATTTTAATATTCTTGTGGTATATGGCTACACAGAATACTTTGTTAAGCATAGGAACTACATTTAAAGTGTCCCCAACAACCGTAATGAGTATAACTAATAAGGTGCTAGACTTTATGGTAAAACTGAAGTCAGCCTGTACCATTTTCCTCAAAAATGAAGCTGATGTACAATAACAATATCCAATACCCGGCAAAATTCTAACTTGTCACATTTCAAATAATAACCAGAAATATAAAACTACTCTTGAGTTGGGTAAAAACTATATAAACTATAACTATGACATATAACAGCTGATTCGTGACGTGACGGATCTTATAACCAAACTGATAACTAGACTCGCTTGAACGGATTGGTAAATACCAACCCAAAATGGTAAATACCATTTCCATTTGGTTATCCGCTTGAATTTGATTAAAGTCTCAAACAAAAATAAACCCTATTGTTTGAGATTTTAATCAAATTCAAGCGGATAACCAAATGAAAATGGTATTTACCATTTTGGATTGGTATTTACCGATCCGTTCAAGCGAGTGTGGTTATCAGTTTGGTTATAAGATCCGTGACGTCATGAATCAGCTGTGAGGATACCAAATAAAACCCGATGGACGTCATCGATGTGGAGCTGTGCGCTGTTGCCAGAATTTGCACATTTTCTTTTAAGCAAATAAATTTAATAAAATAAATTGTTTATATATACCTACCATTTACTATAATACCATTATATTAAAAATAAATAAACTTGTTGTAAAATTAAATTCATTTCTGAATAAAAACACCTGATTTGGTAGATATTCAAAAACACAAAATATTTAAAGAACATAAATTGTTTTCTCGTATTTTAATTAATTTGATTACTTATTTATGATATGGGAACTATAACACTTTTTCAATTCACATCAAAGAGAAGAAAGAACTCGGGTGATGCGATGTTACACAATACCGGCAACTAGCGGCAAGGAGTACTCTTTATCGAGCCTGATATTAACCGCATGGTATGGTTCAGTTGTATATCAATTCCGGAGTTTGATTACATTATACAGAATATATTTCGATGTTTTAACTATTCTGAATCACTGGAATCAAAGTCATCGTTAACATGGATAATAAGGGGAAGAATTTCCTGTCTATCCATTACTTGTTCCCTTCTATACCATTTCATAATTATCTCCTCTGTATGTCTAATGGAGTTCTTCCACATATCAGGGGTAATAGTTTGGAGTGCCTCTTGCCACATTTTTAGGCAGTCATTTTCAGTGTGGCCATCTCTTCCAATATGCCGATTATAGTAATCTTTAATTAGCTCAATTGGGTTAAAAATACAGTGGTATGGAGGTAACCGTAAAACTTTATGTCCATATTGTTCTGCCAAGTTATCGACCACATACATTTTGGTTGGTTTATTCCGAAAAAAAAAAAATAAATAGGAACAAAATGCATAAAGATTGGGTATTCTGCTCACTGTGCAACAATCGTTAGAAGTTCAGATTTGAATGCTTCATGTGGATACTGTATTTTTTGTTCAGTTAACCAATTCTGAATTTCATCCTTTCTCCATGAGCTATTGGGAGTTTTTACTAATAACATGCTATGGTATGATGGATTATCCATAACAATCACAGAGGGTTGGGTCAAGCTTATTAGTAATTGATTTTCAAACCAATATAAAAAGTTTTGCTGGTTCATTTCACCACGGTAATCATTAAGCTGGGTTTTCGATGAAAATATGAGCGACGCACCTTCAACAAATCCATTTTCATTGCCAGCGTGAACTATGATATACCTACAAATGCATTTCATTTTTATATAGAGCTTATTTTTCTATACATTTGAAAGCCCACCTTTTTCCATCAGCTTTTGTACTTCTAACACTTCGCTTGCATACTTTACACCACTTCACAGTAACTGTTGTTCTGAAAAGAACAATTTTTAATTGGCAAGGCAACGATTCAAAGCTCAATTAGCGCAAAACTCACAAACTAAACAATAAAGAACTAATAGTACGACAAAAGGACAATGGCAAGTGGCAACCTCACATTTCTCTGCACGGCACTACCAACCGAATCGAGACGGGGAAATTTAAACTTCAAGTAGAAATGTCACATTGAATGTAGTCAACTGTTGGTAACCATGATTTTTATGAATGACATCACCTATGACGTGCATCGGATTTTATTTGGTATCCACTATATGTCATAGTTATCACCGCAAAATTGTGGTATTTATCCAACTCAGGAGTAGTTTTATATTTCTGGTTATTGTTTGACATGTGACAAGTTAGAATTTTGCCGGGTATTGGATATTTTTATTGTACTTCAGCTTCATTTTTGAGAAACTTAATACAGGCTGACTTCAGTTTTAGCATATGAGAGCACGTTATTAGTTATACTCATTACTGTTGTTGGGGACACTTAAAATCTAGTTCCTACGCTTAAGAATATTAAAATATGGCCATATAAACTCACTGGATGATGTCCACCTGTATACGGTTTTGTCAATAAATATTTTCATTGACATGCAGAAAAGTTTAGAGAATTGAAAGTTATCATAGCTACGAGTACAATGCCATGGTTTTATCAGTAACAATTTTTCTTCTGACAAAAAACATTCCTCCCGTTAATATTATGAAAGGTTTCTTTTTTCCAACTTTCCATACCCCGTTGTAGACGATAAAGCACCGATTATTAGGTGATAATAAAAATAATCAGAAATTATATACGCGCTTTTCTAAAATAAACAACTTCAAACAAACCGCAGTTAAAACCGACGCATTCAAGCTATATTTTTATATTCGAGTAACTGACGTCACCATCCCGTGTGTCATCTTGAACTATAATTATTATAACCGCGGTACATAATACGGAAATTTTGGTTATTCGCTTGGATTTGATTTTTGTTTACGAGGTTTTTGTGTTGTCAAAATGGAACGTCGAGTCTCAGCATCGCAAATCGATGAGCTACTTGACTTCTTAGAAAGTCATCCTAGCTTAGCCAAGGGTAGTGTTGGGCTTGGGGGAAGATCAAAACAGACAATTGAAAGAAAGTGGGACGAATTAGCAATATGTATGAATGCTCATGGTACTGGAGCTACAAAGAATGGACAACGCTGGAGAAGGGTGAGTTTATCTTAGGTTTCATTATCATTTTGTCATCTCTGATTCAGAATTGTTACAATTGTGCTGCATCTTATTTTTCATCATAACATTTGACCTTTGCTTTTACTGTGACCTTTATTCTGTTGTATCCATACTTTTCATTAGTTAATCCAAAAAGGTAAAAAAATAGTGCAATGTTGATTAATAGAAAAAACAAACAATTGCAAACAACTAAAAGTAATGAAATTATAGTGAAAGAATAATGACCAAAAAAGTGGTTGTTGTAAAAGTTAGCTTTAACAAAATGTACTAGCACAATTTATCAAAATCCTTTTTACATTTAACTTGAGAAATGATGACATTTATCCATTTTGGCAGTGATTAAATTTTTATTAATTTTATAGGACTACACTTTTTTGTACCAGTTTTTAAAAGTTTTTTGTTCTCAGATTACTTTAAGACATTGTTTTATTCTGCATAGGTCATCATTAAAAAAGCAAAAACTGGTAGCTTGAGAATGGTTTCTTTAATTCATTGTATTTGTACCTTTCCAAATAGTTTATACCTTTTAATATTTGTAAACACGGTTTACACATATTCACAGGGTAGTTTTCTTGGACTGTTGGTCATAAAAAGGCATTTTGTCCCATGTACATAATATGGTTTTATTCATACAATATATTTTTTACAGTACTGTATTGACCTTAAACATAGGGTAAAATCTAGAGCTGCTCAATATAGACAGGATGCTACAGGTATTGGTGGAGGGCATGCTAATGTGGAGAGCTCATCTAAAGTAGATAGGAGGATTATGGCTATATTGGGACAAGCACCAATATTTGGAGACACAGAGCATCAAGTCCCATTTGGTGTAAGTACATAACTCCTGCATAAATTTTAATGGGATTAATATTAACCAATGAAAAACCAGTGTATATTCTCCATCTCTATTGATTGCTCTGTGAAACCTCATTTAATTTGAAAAAGATTTTACTTCGTGGCACTCCTCATCATATTCTATACTTGATCACGAGATAAAAATAAGTACAGAGTTCCTCTTCAAACAAGAAAAATACAAAGTTTCATTATAACTTTCGTATTCGTTTATTTCTTTTCATCTAACATAAGGTTATTTCAAAACATCAGTAAATCAATTTTAAAATAAATTTGTTTAATTATGGGGCTAGTCAATAAATAAAAATCACTTCTGCACCTGTCGCAATCTCCTTCTCTCCTGTATAATCCATCTTAGTCTCGCACCACGACCCATGCCTGGAGGTATACTTCTCTGCATGGGCACCTGAATCAACTGATCCGAATTAGAACCTGCTTCATCATCCCAATTCTCTTCCACTGCCACTTCCGGCGCCGGATTCCTGACTCCATATCGGCTAACCGGTGTGGTGTCCATGGGTGTTCGGGACCCAGATGGAGGATGCTGCGGTGTGGTGTTCATAGGTGTTCTGGACTCAGATGGTTGATGCGGCGGTGTGGTGCCCATATGCGTTCTGGGCCATGGGTCGTCCCAATTTTCTTCTTCAGGATGTATTCTGTTGAATGGGCGTATAACCGCCACCGGCTTCCCCTCCCACACCGTCGGCAACTTAAATGTTTGTCTTGCACTCATTGTTTGATTCGTGCTGTCTGCTAACGACTGCCTCCTCTCCGAGCGCTGCACTAATTTGAACACATATTTCCAAGGTCATACCGTCTACCACTCACGACTTCAAGGTCACATTTCGATTCAAGGTCACATTTCAAGGCTATATTTCAAGGTCACATTTCGAGGTTAAATATGCGTTCAAGGTTGGCTCCCAAGGTCGACTCTCAAGGGCGTTCTAGAACAGACAAACCCTACCTACTCGGGTGTAATTGAACAGCATTTCATTAATTTAATTGAAAGATTTAGAAAACCAAGGAAATTTCAGAACACGTTTCATAAATTGCATTAAACATTGTATATTTCATCACATTTCAGTATTAACTTTTTTTTGACTATATAGTCATATAAATATTTACATTTTAAAATTAGCATGGAAATCTGAATTTATAGTTGTAATTTGTGAATTGCTTCACTTACTTTTTTTTAGGATTTCATTGTTCAGCCAGTAGTGATTGTGGAAGAACAAATTGAAAATATATCAGGTAAATATTATTTTAATAACAAAAAAAACATATCTTTCACTAGTGATTTTTTTTTCAAATTGCATATGAATTCTGTTTCTTGTTGGTATTGCTTCATAATTTCAAGTATTATAGTATTGCCTACCACACAGTCATGTGAGCTAAGGTGTTATTGCCTGGGGGCAAATATCACATAATCTTTGCAACTTGGAAATAATCCAAAAATTCATTACAAAGATTATGTTTAAGAGGCCAAAGCTGTATCCAATAGAGTTATTGTTCCAAGAATAATATATTTTTTATACTTATCAGCTGGCACAAATATAAGAACATTGAAGCATAATTATAACACTCAGAAAAAGGTTTTGTACAAGTCCTAAAACCAGAATAATACATATGTCTTTCTATAGCTTTCTGGGACCTAGGTATTTTACAACAAAAAAGCTCACTTGGACTATTTACAAAGAAAGTAAAGCAATGAATAATGATTTTACCAAGGTCTCATGCACATCAAATTATTGATCTAAACAATTGTTGAAATACCAAAGTAAACAACAATATTTTATACAGTATTCCGGTATGTAACTTTCACCCAAATTGAGACAAAAAAAAAACGACAGCATATTGTGTTATGAATATTTTCTATTTTTTCTTTACCCGCGGGTTTTCCATTTATCTCGATATAAATTTTTTTTAGTATAGTGAAATTCTGGTCGACAAATTTTTATGATTAATTGAGAGCTTTTTGATTTTCAGAACCATGTCCTTCAAAATCAGCTGTTCAGCCAGCACCAGAAATGGAACCAAAAATAGAAACGCCATCTGGTTAGTACTTTTTGTTTAAAATTTTGTTGGAAAATACAAAAATCTGCTTTGGTACAATACATTTTTCAATACTGACAAAGGCAACACAATTACCAGCTTAATCATTAAAACGATATAACAGCATACTATGAGTTTTATAAATAACAAACATTTTTAATTTCTCTCAAATTGGAGTTTAATTGTAATTCCTTTTGTGCATTAGTTATATAGATTTTTATTTTCTCTAGGTGCAACAAGCCCTCTTTCACGACGCCCAACAAAGAAACGACGTTTAAGCCCAAGTGAGTGCTATAACTGCGTCATTTACAGTCTTCATGTTTAAGTATACATGGTTTTAGGTCAAGCTTTGATCATTGTAATTATCTCTTGCAGTAGTTGGTTATTATTAAAATCATTCTGCCCAGTACTTTTAAAAAAGATAAATCAATGAAATCAATTGAAGATGACACAAAAAAATGTTCTTCTATCACAGTTCATGGAAGATGAACAGGTCTGATGTAAGCCAACTCACAGTAAACTGTTTGAAAAAATATAATTTCTTGCATAATCCTCTTATAGGTCAGAAGTTAGGCAGCTGTACCTATTTTGTTTTTTTCTTAGGATATCACAAGAGAATCAATAAGGACTGGGTCATTGAGTTGGAAGAAAAGAGGGTTGAAGCTGAAGGAAAACTTCTCAGTGCAGCACTGGTGATGGCAGAAGCAAGTCGCATACAGGCAGAAGCAAGTCGCATGCAGGCAGAAGCAAGTCGCATGCAGGCAGAAGTGGCACTAATGCAAATGAAAATCGCACAAGAAATGTCGCCAAACATGTCTAAACTGATAGAAATTCTGAAAAAATAAAGTATTTTCATGATTATTGTTCCTTTGTACTACGTAATTTTAGACATTTTATACAAGATATTTGCACAAACCAATTTACTGTATTGTTTCAAAACCATCTCTCTTAACCCTTAACCCCTTAAGTGGTAATGACGGATATATCCGCCAATATATTTTTTATCCAGGTTGATCATGACGGATATATTCGCTAAGAATATTTTATTGGGGCCGTCCATGGCTATCACGAATATGCTCGCCTGCGATGCTTCCACTGTAAATATAACCAATAAGGAACAATCACGTGTGTTTGTGATGCCATCAACACCGCATGTTGTTGTCTGCCGCCATTTGATTTCGGTGTAAGCTAGTAGTCAGTACTGTGTGGGTTTCAATAAACCGGCTGTGTGTTGCTTGATTGTTCGTATTCAAATTACGTTTAATAATGTCTAGTTCTGATGATGAAATGACTATAGATAGTTCCAGTGATGACGGGAATCAATGCACTAGTTCTGACGTATCAGATAACGATTCCAGTTTTGACGAAGATTTTGAAGCGAGCGATACCGAAAGTGAGCATGAACCTAATCTTGATACAAGTTTTGAAATGCCCTGGACAGAAAATGGGATTCCTAGGCCAGCGTTCCCTTTTACGTCAAACAGTGGTGTTCAAGTGAACAATTCAAAGGATATAGTGCAAATCTTTGAATATTTTTTCGATGATGACCTAATAGATATAATAGTCAGAGAAACAAACAGATACGCATCGCAGTATATTTCTTCGAATCAAGATAAGCTCAAGCCAAATTCCCGAGCTAAAAAATGGTTTGATACAGATAGTAATGAAATTAGGACCCTTCTCGGGTTGCTAATATTACAAAGTATCTGTCCTAAGCCTGAATATAAAATGTACTTTTCACGACGAGAGAGCATCGAGACTCCTTTTTTCTCTAAAGTTATTGGTGAGAGACGATTTCATTTGTTGCTAAAGTTTTTACACTTTGTAGATAATTCTACCATAAATCCGCATACAAAAAGCCGAAAATTGATTAAAGTTTTACCAGTTTTGGATTTGCTGAAAGAAAAATATATGTCAGCCTATGTACCAGAGCAAAACATATCCATAGATGAGTCCTTGATAGGATGGAAAGGCAGACTTGCTTGGAAACAGTACATACCCTCAAAAGGGAAACGATTTGGCATGAAAGTTTTTGCCTTATGTGAAAGTAGCAGTGGCTACATGTACAACTTTTTAGTTTATACTGGGGCAGATACCGCATACAATGCTTTGTATGAAAATGAACCACTTACTTCGAGGGTAGTGTTGACATTGATTCATCCTCTTTTAGATAAGGGATACTGCCTATTTTTAGATAATTATTATACAAGCATAGACCTGCTCGACAAACTAGTAAAAAGAAGGACAGATGGTGTTGGTACAATGAGAATAAATAGAAAACGAATACCACAGGCAATAAAAGTAAAATTACAGCGAGGTGAAACCGTAGCACGTTTCAGAAGAAAGCTCATGATTCAGAAATGGCGCGACAAGAAAGACGTCCTTATGATAAGCACAATTCACGATGACAGCATGAAAAAAATTGCAGCAAGAAGTAAGGAAATTGAAAAGCCAGCTTGCGTAATCGACTACAATGCCAGCATGGGTGGTGTCGATTTATCTGACAATTACCTCCACTTTTATGGAATTGCTCATACTAGAGTTAAAAAGTACTACATGATGTTTTTCCATTTTTTAAGTGTCACTACATTGAATGCCTTTCAAATTTATAAGAAGATTGGCGGAAAACTTAAAAGAATGAACTTCTTACTGGAGCTGGGTGAGAAGGTAGTAGAAAAATACAGCAAACCCTTACAAATGAAGAAAAGAAGGTCTAGAACGCCAATGCCCACAAGACTGATTGAAAGACATTTTCCATCGATAATAGCACCAACAACAAAAGCAAAACCGACAAAAAGGTAACTCTGCCAAAAACTTATCACTCTACGTTTGTTTAATTGCGTTTTTCTTTACTGCAGATGCGTTCTATGTGCTGAACAAAAGAAGCGAAAAGAGAGTCGTTATTGGTGCTTAGAGTGTCGTACTGGTCTCTGTCCTGCACCTTGTTTTGGGATATACCATACAAAAGAATAATATTTTCTATAAGTTTTTGGCTGTATTTTCTTTTTGAATAAATAAGCTTTAAGTAATTTTCGGTTCATTAATTGTTTAAAAAAAGTACTTGTCATGGTGGCTTTCCCGTATATGTACGCACTTAATTTCCAGTAACCCAATTCACGTGGCTTTGACGAATATGTACGCCTGCACTTCAATTGTCAGTGGCATAGACGAATATGTACGCAAGCGGTAAAACGACGTGCCACCTGAAAAGGCATCGCGGGAAGCAGCTACAGCCACTTAAGGGGTTAACCACGGACAATGAGTCTGTCGGACTCCGCGCTATACATTTTACACTATTACTCCCACCACAATCTTTGTTCGCTGCTGTTGCTTCATGTACCTTCCGCATTTTCAGTGCTCTTCTACGTCTCAAACTGGTAATATCGTAAAATTTCATTTAATCGGGTTTTTCGTGATTCGGAGTTTGTCAGACTCAGTGTCCGTGGTTACGTCATAACAGCTATGGCGACTCCTACGCCTGGTACATCGAAACAGATACATATAGAATGTGACCATGCTCTGCAAGCGAACAAGAAGCGAGTGATAATGAACAGGACTCTTTATACCGCGACGACGAATATGATAATATGGACGTTTCCAGCGACAGTGACGCGAGTGATAGCGAATTTGAAACTAGTGATGCTGACCAAAAAAACTTGAAAACAAAACAAAAATATATCTACGGAAAAAAACCGTTGCAAATGGAGTACAACAGAACCTGTGCGAAAAATTCGTACCCAAGCTCATAATATTTTACGTTTGCCATTATTGCGTTTGGATGTACAAGACAAAACTGATCCAAAATCATTTTTCAACAAGTTATTTTCTGCAGAAAACGTATACAAATAAAAAGTTGGATAATACGACAAAATTACAAACGTGAGAACAGGCCAGAACTTGCAGACCTTACTGTTAATGAACTCAATGCTTTTGTAGGATTACTACTATATACAGCTATTTTCAAATCACATGATGAAGATATCCCAAGTATTTTCGCTACAGATGGTACAGGACGAGATGAGTTTCGAGCAGTTATGTCGATGGAACGTTTTTCGGTATTATTAGTTGCTCTACGGTTTGATGATGCAGAAACCCGAGAAGAAAGGAAGAACGACGACCCAGCAGCAGCAATTAGTGAGCTAGTCAACACGTTTATTGAAAATTCCAAAAAATCCTATATAATTGGATCAACAGCTTGCGGGGATGAAATGTTAGTAGGGTTTCGAGGAAAATGTAAATTCAAAATGTATATACCATCGAAACCTGAAAAATATGGTATAAAAATTATGGCGTTAACGGATACAAGAACTCAGTATCTTTACAATGCATATATTTATGCCGGCAAAGACACTGATGGACGTGGATTATCACAAAGTGAAAAGAAGCTAAGTAAGCCTACCCAATCAATTGTAAGACTCGCAAGGCCCTTATATCATTCAAATAGAAATATAACGGCAGACAACCGGTTTTCGTCATTGGAACTAGCTGAATTTTTGCTTACAAATGGACTTACATTTGTAGGCACAATGAAGAAAAATAAGAGGGAAATTCCCCCGGAATTGCAACCAAGAAAAGACCGTAAAGCAGGTGATACAGTATATGGGTTCAAAAAAAATATGACCATTGTTTCCTATGCAAAAAAAAAAACAAAGCCATTATACTTTTATCGTCAATGCATCATTTCAAATCTACTGCCCCAGAAACTGGAAAACCAGAAATAATAAGTTTTTACAACAGTACAAAGGGTGGAGTAGATGCTATGGATGAAAAATGTGTAAAATATAGCTGCAGCCGACGCACTAGGAGGTGGCCCATGGCAATATTTTATAAACTATTGGACATTTGTAATGCAAACTCCTATATATTGTACTCATCATTTCCAGGAAATGAGGCAAACCGCTTTGATTTTGTCAAAAAGTTAGCAGGTCAGTTGATAGAAATTCGTTTACGAGAGAGACTACAAAAACCGCAGATAAATAGAGAAATAAAATTTTTGATTTGCCGGATTTTGCAAATACCTAACGAGGCACAGGAAGTAAATGAAGAACGACTTCAAATTCGTAAATATTGCTACATATATCCTTCGAAATTGAGAAGGAAGACTGCATTCACTTGTATAAAATGTAAACCCCCTATTTGTTTGCAGTGTTCGAAAGAATGTTGCATACATTGTGTCAACAAACAAGAATAAACATAAAAATAGGGTGCAAAATTTGCCTTGCAGGTACTTCTACTTTTTAACTTTGGAATTCTCTTTTAGTTATTTTGATTTTGTATAAGTATTATAATTTTAGTTTTGTAGAAAAAAAAATTTTTTGATAGGTGCTGTAAGTGCAATATATTTAAATGTATGTAGTGGTTAATTTTTTTTTATTTTCAGTATTTCCATTTTTTTGTATTTTTTGTGATGCTTTCAAATTTTTTTCGTAATAAACTATTAAACAATACATTGAACTAACATTATTTAATGACACACACACAATAAAAATAGACGTCCGTAGTTAAAGGTTAAATCATTTCCTAACAATCACCCCTGACCATTTTTTGTAATCAAACCTCCAATCTGTAAATCATTTATAATTCCAAATATGATGGAAAGTTTCAACAGGTTTTTGAATACAAACAAGATTATTTTATCGTATTTAGAATTGTAATTGCTTTACAATTGACGAAAAGAAAATAGTGGAGTGTTTTTTTATGATATATGAGTTTGCGGATTATGAAACACATAAAGAGATTTTTTATTTTTACGATGGTATTTAGAATCAATGCTTAACAAATTGATGGTCAACAGTTTTTTAAAAATGCAGTGCTTCCAATTACGAAAGCATTTTACGTTTTTTCCTGATCTTCACACACACCCTAGTTTTAGGCTTGTTCCAAATCCTCTATAATAGATATTGACGAACATGAACAGGTAAAAATAAACCTTCCCAAAAAACTAATTCTAAAAACTTGGACGTTTTTTTTACAGGATTGATAAAACTTTTCAAAATAGAGCTATTATTAAACATAAACATATGAAAATTGTAATGATCAGGATTGAAAATTTGGAGTATTTCATACCGTAGCTAATAAAAACAAAATAATGGAGAACACACACATTTACACTCTTCTGACACTCCACAAGCGTTGCACAATGTTAGTCCCTTGTTGGCGACCCCTCTCCAACAATGCTGGTTCTTGAGCACCAGTACCAACCATGACTTGTGCTTGTGCTTCCATTGGTAACTCTGGAAATGGTACATTATGTCTGTTGCAGATGTTATGCAACAGAGCACAAGCATTTATCATTTTTGCCACCATATGGTGATCATAATGTAATATACCCTATGTACCAGGAGACAATGCCACCTTGCTTTCAATACTCCTATGCATCGCTCTATGATATTCCTGCAGTACCAGGTTCTGCATTTATAATGGGCGTTAGGATATCCAGAGTCACCTGTAAAAATATATTTTTCATTATTACTCATCTTCAAGCAGGTATATAACAACAATTGTAATTGAAAAACATACCAAGCAACTTAACTCTTTCACCATGGCTGCCAAGCTATCTCAAGTGTGTATATGCTTAAGAGTTTCTCCAAATATGGGCTTCATGTGTAGCTCCACCAAATGAGGCATCAATGCTCAGATCACTATCACATATCTGAAAGGAAATAACCATAGATAACTAACTTAGCTTAGTAAATTAGATAATTACAGAATTAGGATTTAAATACCTTCATTAAGACTGCATTAATTAAGTCTTATTAATAATAATAAAAGTTCCATTATAGGCTTTCTATGGACATACATCAAAATGTATAATTATGGCTGAGTTAGTCACAATTAAAGTCGAAAAAATATCAGTAAATGTTAGTGTTGTAGTCTGTATGATGCCTAACATACAGGGTGTCCCAGAAGTCGACGTCAAGCCGAAACCGGGTGATAGGCAAAGTCATAACAGCTATCAGAAAAATATTTAAAAAAATTTTATGTATGTGTTTTAAAAATTATAGGTCTTTGAAAAAGATATAGAAATTTCACACCCTACGGCAGTCCGTCAACTCCTGTTACTACAAATATTAACTTTTTTTGGATTTTATTTTTACAATGTAATGATGAATAATGCAAATTCAAACTGGTGTCTCAACCTTACTGCCAACTTTTCTCGTTCAGGAAAAATTGCCACTTATTTCCCAACCAAGTATTCCAAAGTAAAACTTTGCTCAACTTTAACTGGCTGTACTGGAAAAAAATGTACCACGAGAGTTTGGCAAGTAACCTTAAAAGTTGGCGCATTTAATAAGGATTCCAAAATGGTATAACACTTAGAAGATTACTCGTTAACTTATGCACAATTTTTATTTGAAGAAAAACGGATGAAAATTTTTCAAAATTTCCTAATTAAACAGCGATTATGAAAACGCACAAGGACCCTTAAGGATAACTGTTTGCACAACAGTGGGCGTCAAAATCCTGCTGATGATGATTTACCTTTACAGCAAATGCTCAAACTGTTTTCCTTCAGCCGCAATACACGCTCGACATCTTCTTAAAAAAGATCGGGTTATTAAACGAGCGAATCCACGGTTATTAACAAACTTAGCTGCTTCCAATAGTCTTTGCCGTAGCTCAGCTACATTTTGAATCAGCTTGAAATACACTTTTTCTTTTACAGTTCCCCAGTAAAAAAATCTAACGGATACAAATCTGGTGACCGGGCTGGCCACACTATTGTACCAGACCACCCTATCCATCTGCCTGGAAAGTTTTGATCGAGATACTCTCTCACTGAGAGTGCATAGTGCGCTGGGCAGCCATCATGCTGAAACCACATGTCTCTGTAAATACTCAGTGGCACGTCCTCCAATAAATTTTCTAAATGATTTTGCACTGTTGAAAAGTTTTTGATGCAGCTGAACCCATCAGCTTCTCAAGTGATAGTCCACCATAAAATTTTGATATGCAACCTTATTTAATATGAATGTTTGCATGTCAATATAATAACTATTTGAACATTTCTGGAGTGTTAGTGTTTTCGATTGAAAAATCTTTCCTCATTTTCATTTGGTCATACCAGAGCTACATCAGTACAATCAATTCATCCCAGACACCCAGGAAATCCAAATTTATTTGAAAATCTGTAATAAATCAATACGTATATAATAGCAAAAGCTTCCAATTGTATGACTAAAGTGATGAAGATTGTTCTAATTCACCACTAGTGTTACTTATTTCATTTTTACATTGTTTTATAGGTTCATCTATTTTAAAGTCGATTGGTTCATCTCATATCTATAAATGTATTTTGATAGAACTCAGTAAATAATAGTTAGCAATTATGCAATTTCCTTCATATCTAAGAAAGATAAAGAAAAGTTATGTCTTGCCCCTTATTTTTGAAGATAATCATACCCTCAATAATAATTTATAATTACTTTTTAAGCACATCTTAAATCTAAAAAGAGGTAGCCACTTCTATTATATATTCTTAATACACTAAAATTTTCAATAAGTAAAAAGTTCATCTCAGCTATGACTGTTTCACAAATATGTTTTTGCAGAATAACTATTTATCAACATTTGAATAATTACCCATTAATTATAGCACTTCTCTCTTGTGGTGTTTGAGGAAAGTAAACATGCTTTTTTAAAATGTCTGGATGATTGAATGTATCCACCACTTCCATTAGTGCTTTCGATACATTGGGTTGACTGAGCCCATGTAGGTAATCCATGCCAATAGGTTTCTGGTACAATCCAGAGGCCAGCACTGAAAGTGCTGTTAATACCTAAAATAATGTATTTCTATACACTGTGGTAGGAAGCTAGAGATACGCTTTTGTTATCATTATAAAGTTCAACTCTTAAAAGCTTTGTTAAAGCACAGCGAGGTTTGGCATTTTACACACATGACGTACGTAAACCCACCGCACTTGGGAAGTTTACAACGTAAACGTTTTTCCATCCATACGGGCCAGTGTGAGCTCTCGTCAACCCGTACCTCCTTAGGAGGAATAGTACAGTTACGAGAGCGTTGTTTACTTTTGGATTTTCTATTCCAAATCAGATTTTTGTCCTTTTGAGTTTTGACGAATACCTATTTTGCAAAGTGTTTCTCCTAATTCAATCCTAAAATTTGCCAGCCCAAGTGTTTTTAGTATCTCCCTTCTGAGCATTAGCTCTCCTATATAGAAGCCAAGCATTTATGTGTCCAAAAGTCTGAAATACCACTTCCTTGTTGGAAATTAGGTAATAAGCCTGCTGGTCTCACCATTTTACCCACTGTTTCAATTCTCTTGGTATAGTGATGAGATAATTGTGAATACCTAATAAAACTGAAATTTTTATTTAGTGTTTTATCTCAGCGCACGGAACCGCTGATGTTTATATCAACTAAAAATATATAAATCAAATTCAAGCGGATAACCAAAAGGAAATGGTATTTACCATTTTGGGTTGGTATTTACCAATCCGTTCAAGCGAGTGTAGTTATCAGTTTGGTTATAAGATCCGTGACGTCACGAATCAGCTGTTATATGTCATAGTTATCACCGCAAAATTGTGGTATTTACCCAACTCAAGAGTAGTTTTATATTTCTGGTTATTATTTGAAATGTGACAAGTTAGAATTTTGTCGGGTATTGGATATTGTTATTGTACTTCAGCTTCATTTTTGAGAAAAATGATACAGGCTGACTTCAGTTTTACCATAAAGTGGAGCACCTTATTAGTTATACTCATTACGGTTGTTGGGGACACTCTAAGTGTAGTTACTATGCTTAACAAAGTATCCTGTGTAGCCATATACCACAAGAATATTAAAATATGGTCATATAAACTCACTAGATGATATCCACCTGTATACGGTTTTGCTAATTTCTTTTTTCATCATTTCTGCTGAATCAATAAATGTTTTCTTTGACATGCGGAAAAATTTAGAGAATTGAAAGTTATCATAGCTACAAAGCCATGGTTCCATCATTAAAAAAAAATCCGAAAAAAACATTTCTCTCATGAATATTATGAAAGCTTTCTTATTTAAACTTTCCATATACAGTTGTAGACGAAAAAGCACCGATTATTAAGTGATAATAAAAATAATCAGAGATTATATACGCGCTTTTCTAAAATAAACAACTCGCAACAAAACCGCAGTTAAAACCAACGCGTTCAAGCGATTCGTGTAACTGACGTCATCAACCCGTGTGTCATTTTGAACCATATTATAACCACGGCACATAACACAGAAATTTTGGTTATTCGCCTGGATTTGATTATAAATGGTCGTATAACTCTAAGAAAAATATCTCGACCAAAACTTGTTTCTAGCCAAATTGCTTTATAACTACCAATATAACATAACCCATCCTCATCTCGTTTTCAGTAGAGTCTACCAATCTACAGTGTCATTGGTGTCACTTATTTAATCAAATCCAAGCGAATAACCAAAATTTCTGTGTTATGTGCCGCGGTTATAAGATGGTTCAAGATGACACACGGGTTGATGACGTCAGTTACACGAATCGCTTGAACGCGTTGGTTTTAACCGCGGTTTTGTTGCAAGTTGTTTATTTTAGAAAAGCGCGTATATAATCTCTGATTATTTTTATTATCACTTAATAATCGGTGCTTTTTCGTCTAGAACTGTATATGGAAAGTTTAAATAAGAAACCTTTCATAATATTCATGGGCGAAATGTTTTTTACAGATTTTTTTTTAATGATGGAGCCATGGCTTTGTAGCTATGATAACTTTTAATTCTCTAAAATTTTTCGCATGTCAAATAAAACATTTATTGATTCAGCAGAAATGATGAAAAAAGAAATTAGAAAAACCGTATACAGGTGGATATCATCTAGTGAGTTTATATGGCCATATTTTAATATTCTTCTTGTATATGGCTACACAGGATACTTTGTTAAGGATAGGAACTAGATTTAAAGTGTCCCCAACAACCGTAATGAGTATAACTAACAAGGTGCTCCACTTTATGGTAAAACTGAAGTCAGCCTGTATCGTTTTTCGCAAAAATGAAGCTGAAGTACAATAACAATATCCAATACCCGGAAAAATTCTAACTTGTCACATTTCAAATAATAACCAGAAATATAAAACTACTCTTGAGTTGGGTAAATACCACAATTTTGCGGTGATAACTATGACATATAACAGCTGATTCGTGACGTCACGGATCTTATAACCAAACTGATAACTACACTCGCTTGAACGGATTGGTAAATACCAACCCAAAATGGTAAATACCATTTCCATTTGGTTATCCGCTTGAATTTGATTTTTCTCGTGTTCAAGCAAGCAGCTTCCCGCCAAAAGATATAACAAAAACCACAATTTTATAATAATTTCGTAAAATATTGTGTGTGATTAATGGTGTAACTGTGCTTTCACGCAAAAAATTCATTATAGCGGTACGGAATTAAACATTAACTATGTGGTACGATTCCGGTAAGTGCATTTTGACGATTTGTCTATTATGGTGTTTTGTATGTTTATTGCATGCCCCTTTCTATATTTTAGCTGATAACAGTGCCGCTGGCGGCTTTCTGAACAATACCGCTAATGAAACAGATACTCCAAAGAAATCCGTATGTATTTCACCAAAATGCACACTATATAACGTCTGAAAACCGTGATTTTCTTTCAGGGCCCCAAGAAGAGCCAGAGTGTAATGCCTCTGGTAGTTCGACAAATTGAAAATTGTTATGACGAGGAGTTCAGCTTATTTGGTATCAAGGCCTCTATTGTAAGTATATGAATAGTCTCATTATAAATGCATGATCCATGACTTATCTCAGTGTGGGCATAGCTGCAGTTTTAATAAGAAAAAGTTCAATATAACTTCTGAAACTTATCCTATAGCTGTGATGTTGGTAGGACTCTGTTTGGTCTGGCCAGATCAAATCATATATTGTACAATAATCAGGAATTTAAACATACATATATGTGATTAGATTCGCCAGACAAGGGAGCCTTAAGAGAAAGGTCTATGTGAATAAACTTTTTGTCTTTCCTAAAAAAGCTCTCATTTTCATAGAGTTAGGAGACTCCAATTTGAATTATGTGTAATGGCCAGACGTACCATAATTCAGATTTGATATATTTCTAGTCCAGCCTAAACCACGGTTCCATTTGTTTAGGGTGAATGTTACAGGATCAGTTTTTACTGTGTTACCATCAGTATTTATTGTCAGTGGATTTCTATGTAACTTTATAGATCAATGAATATTGACATCCATTAATACACTATAATATACACATTCAAAAATAGAAAATCTTTAGGTTAATTAAACAAGATCCAAGTGACAGTACAAGACATTCTAATAAACCAAATTATATCCTGTATGAGTTCTACAAATTTTTACCTAAGATCCACATATTTCAGTTTTAAGTTAGGTTTGTCATTAAGAATTATTGTATTCTTCAGACAATAAATCATACATATCTGTCTAAATACTATGTTTAGATATTTAGCATTTATTGTGATTCATCAGGATTTAACATAGAATCTCATAGTTATAAGGCTATATACACAGTTCAGTAAATACTAACGTGTAACATTCATTTCATGATAAAATCTAACAAATCACAGTAATCACAATAGTGTGTAGCATTCACCTAAAGGTGATTCAGATTCTCTTCGCAAAGAAATTATTTAATGCAGAGTTCCTGTGTATTTTAGATAATGCATAATTGATTCGTTTTTATATCCTAGCCATTAATTTTCTTTTCGTAGCTGGTGCTTGTGGGGATACTTAGGGACTATGAAGTGCAGTCAACCAAGGCAACCTATAGTATCCAAGACCATACAGGTACCATTAAAGCAGTCTGGTGGCTTGAAAATGATGCTGACACTACCCCTAACCTACCTGCGGTCAAAGAGGGATCTTATGTTCAGGTAAAACCTTATAAGATTTCTAAATGTTGTTAACATAACATAGGAGTTTGTACATAGAATGATTCAGGTTTATAAGCTCAACAACTACAACACTCACAGATGAGATAGAGGGCAATGAGAAGATAAGTTTATAATTGATACACGCAACTTGAAATTAAGATTGATTTTATTCAAATCTTGAAACTTATTTGTAGGTATTTGGTTCTTTAAGAAAGAAAGAGGAAGGTACGGATGAGAACATCATAATGGTCTTGAGGATGTTCCCAGTCGATGATGCCAATATTGTCTACAATCATTTACTGCAGGTGATTCATAGTAGGCTTGAGGCTGAACACATGTCCAAGAATAAGGTAACCCTTTCACTTTTTCCATTATTTTTTTATTACTGCCATATACTTTTGCTATTACACAACATATACTACATAATAGAAGAGAATTATTTTTCTATGACCCTTATTTATATAAATTTCTAGTGATTAGTTGGATTTGGGGTCTAAAGAAATGCAGCTTCATATTACAAAGCTGTCAACATTTCAGAATAATCTATTTCCTTCTTCAGGGCTCTACAAAAAAATAATTAAAAACCCTAACTTCACATATACATTAACTAACAATTTAAACAATAAAATCAATATAAACCATACTTATTTTAGTTCACACATTTCATAAAATGAAGTTTTAAACACATCCCCAAATTTCATTAACACATGGCAATTCTCAACATAAAAAAGTCGAAACAAAGATAAAATGATTTGTAATTTAGATGGTTGAATATCCACCCAATGAAATTTTTTTTAACAAACGGAAATTATAGCAAACTCGCCTTTGGTTAGAAACTGTGGTGCTCCAATAATAATCTACGAGGTCTGTAAATGAACTAATGAGACTGGCAATGTTGCGTTCGATCCGGCAACATTGGAGGCGCCTGGCTTGGAGGGAAGACAGGGGAACATGTGATTTGTCTTCAGTACAAGTTTGAACTCGCTCGAGTCATTTGGTTATCCGTGGCGACTCTTTTTTTGTGGACACTGTGCAACGGAAACTCGTTCTACAGACCTGTCATACAACAATGTCAATAAACGAGTTTTTTGCCAGTAAAAACATTCCTGTGGCTCCTCGCCTGACTTGAGTCCTTGTGACTTTTTTCTCTTCTCAAAGTTGAAAAATTACCTCAAGGGAACTCATTTTGGTGCAGTTGAAAACATACAAATGGCTATAACCAGCTAAAGACAGTATCAGAGTTCTAGCCCTGCTATGTGGAGTGGAGGAACTGTCTCCAGCGCTGTGTGGCTTCAGAAGTTATTTTGAGGGTGACAATAAAAAATTGTAGTTATATCTAAATAAGCAAATTTAAAAAAAAATACCACCACTTAATTTACAGACTATTATGCACATTTTAGATATTATCATTTATACTGCAACTTATTAATATGACACTGAAAGATTGTTATGGGGATATAGCTAGACAGAGACTGATAGATAGGAGAAATCTGAGCTATTTCTTGCTATATTTGATGTTTTGCTTTGTTGATACGTATTATGTGGCAGTTGATACTTTGTTTTTCAATGTTGTAATAGGAAACTATGTTTCTTTAGACCCTAAATCCAATTAAGTATAGTTTATCTGAAGTCACTTGAAACACTGTGAAATACCGGGTGCGTTTTATATATCTATATTTAACACGCTCTGTTGCTGCAAAAATCGCCAAATTTCGCAGCAAATATCCCCCGTATAAGATCAAAGGCAGTTTCACCGGTCCACGTGGAGTAAAGCACGCCTATGCGTGGACATAGCCAATGAGAAAGCGTGTATTTCAGAGCTCCGAAAAAGTGCAGGTGGCTACTGAAAATTGAAACAGTTTAGCCAGTGACGTGTAGCGGTGAATAAACGTGTTTTCTTTAGTCTGTCCGTGTTTTTTCATAGATTTTATTAGTTTGTGTGTTTTTGACTTTTGAATACTCAGTTTACTTGTTGATTTAATTGTTGTGTTGATTGTTCTTGTGTGTCCTAAATATGGCTCTTTGGAGACCTTGGGAAAATGCTCCAAGCCACGAGGAGATGGTTGATGAACCTGTGCAGGCAGAATTCTTTCATAAAGATTTAGAGGAACAGACCCAAAGAGTAATTATAAATATGTATGATTGTTTGAAAACGAAAATCCAGATTCCTCGCAAAATCAAATTTTAAACAGAATTTGTATCCTGACAAAAATCAGTCGGTCTACCATTTATCGGGTTATAAAAAGGGGAGATGTAGTCAACCATTCCCTCCACAGAAAGCGCATAGGGCAAAAATTAAAAAGAATAGACGTGGGTTTTCAGGAAGATATTCGTCGTATAATATACGGATTTTATAAAGAAAATTTGGTGCCCACGTTGGAAATGATACGAGATAAATTAAAAGATTATCCTGAAGATTTTATAATTACAAATGCTTAGACTCACTGCACTGTATTGTAAAACTGTGTGGTTTTCAATACAAAAAATTAGATAAAAGAATGGTGATTATGGAGTCGTCTCGAATCGTTGAATTGCGCCAAGAATTTTTGCACAAAGTTAAAATCTATAGAGAGCAGAAAAGAAATCTGATTTACCTGGATGAAACGTGGTATGATACCCATGATGTGCAGTACGGCTGGGTTGACGACAGCAACAAGTGCATTTTAAATGCACCATGCAACCGTGGAAAACGAATCATTATTCTCCATGCTGGCAGTGAAAATGGATTTATACCTAATGCCTTGCTGTTATCTGCCAAAAATATCAAAGAATCATGTGCCGACTATCATGAGGACATGACCTCCGACTTATTTGAAAAGTGGATAGAGCAGCAGTTAATACCAAACATTTCCCCAAATTCAGTGATTACTATGGACAATGCGCCATACCATTCCCGACAGAAAAACAAAATTCCGAATACAGGCACAAAAAAACAAGACATTATTGATTTTATGAAGGATAAGGGAATGGAAATACCACAAAAATCAACCAAAGCCATATTATTGGATCATATTAAAAGACAAAAATTTGAAAAAGAGTATGTTGTTGACAATCTGCTTCAGCAAAATGACCATGAAGTATTACGTCTACCTCCCTATTACTGCATTTTTAACCCGATTGAGTTGGTCTGGGCTGCTTAAAAAAAAAAGTAAGAAAACATAATCAGACCCCTCAATTAAGTGAATCGCTATTGGCCACAATAAGAGATGCAGTATCTCATATTGCTGCCACAGACCTATGGAAGCAGTGTTCTAGGCATATTATTGAAAAAGAAAATGAATATTGTGTTTTGCCTCCTGTAAATCCCGTTGTAATTCCTCTACAAGATGACTCTAGCGACAACTCCGAAGGCGAGGATGATATATAAATACCTATAATGTAAGTCTTTATATACCTTTTTATATACCTACCTGCTATGTAAATATTTGCCGATGTCAAACGTTGGAATTCTGTATTTTTTCCATTTCTTAACTTTCAGTCAACATAAATTAAACTCCCAATATAAGTATTTTTTATCCCAAATCAAAAAAATAAGAAGATAGTAAAATCCATTTATTGTGATATAAAAACATTATTATTATCGTTCTACATAAATCACCGCACGCCTATGATACGTCATGAAATTACAAAGGACGCGCCGACCAAAGGTTTTTATGCTATTTCAAGTGACTTCAGATATACCATACTAGAAATTTATTTTACATAATTTTGACTTATATTTTGTTTCCGCCAGCATCATTTGAATCTACGTTTCCTCTGCTTGTAGGAAGTGATGATAAAGACCAACAATCCGGGCGCCGCTCTGGCTAACTCCATGACTTTCTATGATGATAACATGGATGGCACTGGTGGCGGATCTAACAACATGGGCATGACCCCTATTCAACACAAAGTATTTACTCTGCTGAAACAGGACATGTCACACAACGGTTTGCACAGAGACGAGATCATGAAACATTTCCCGCCAAATCAGAGGGCAAAAGTGAAGTGAGTATTTGAATATATCACATTAAAGTTCAATTAATTTTCTCGGTTATAATATGAAACAATTTATGTTAAGAACATTTCATACCTCGAAAAAGATACCTCATTCTTGCGCAACTGTCTCGTTCATTAGTTTAGTCTCTGTTTTCCGTTTAAAAGAAATTATTTATTCTTATATATGAACATCAACTTTCAGGAAAGAGAATGCGTTATTTACGAAGAAACATGCATTATACTTCATATTTTTATTTTCAGAATTTCTAAAAAAAAAAAGAAAACCCCATAACCTGCGGCAACATTCAAAGTAGTGGCAACGCTAGCGCCTAACGACGGTAGTAGATACTTATATGGTGCAACCCAGTTCCTCAATCATATTTTGGTACAAACTTGCGCTCGTCACACAATAAAGCATATTCATCTATCTATCATATGGCTCTTATTCGCTCGGTTTTATTCAATGTTCAGGTCAAATATTTTAATCATTGGTTTGTACTGCAAGCAGATCTACGAATTTTTCAGTAGATCTGTTGATTTTAACCCTATTCTACCGAACTACCTATTTTAATGCGAAATCCATCGGTTTTGTCAAATTTTCAAACACCATAGTATTTTCAATGAAACACAAGAATAGAGCACTTTATTCCTCAATTATATGATTTGGTGCAACCAAAGAGTAGTTACATCAAGAGAAGACACTTCGTGGAGTGTATTTATAAACCGTCCGTCTGTCCCATTGACCTTGGGAGTGAACTTACGAATTTTGATTTGACTAGTCAACATTTCATGTCAGTACGCGACGTAACCAAAACATTTCGGTCGGCTCTTTGACTTTTACTGGTTTGCAAATATGGTCTAAGTTTAATGAATTGTTGATACAGACTAAGCATTCAATTTATTTGAAATTATGATTTTGATTATGCCACAATTTGGGATCATTATTTAAATAATTGAGTGAAGTTCCCGTTCAACCGTATTTGTTTAATTTTCTAATAGTATATCATGATTTACACCGTCAAAAGCTTCGGAAAAGTCGCAATAAGGAGCAATAGAAATTTATTTATCGTTTAAATTTGAGTATAGCTTTCATGGTATTTTTTTGTTTTTGAAATGCAAATTGGTTGTCTTGTCACCTAAAATTTTGTTGGTTTTTAGAGTCTCTTCATCTAATTTGGACTATTTTTCAATTACTTTTGCTATAACAGTAATTAAACTTATGGGTCTATCATTTTACTTTTTAAACAGGATTAACTATTGATGAATTTAAAAAATTCTGCTTAAACACTCATGTTGAGAGAAATATTTATGTTTTGTGAGCGTATCAAGAGCACCAAGCGAAAGATTCGTGATAATATTTAAAGAAATTTCACAGATCTTAATACTAATTGCAATTCATAAAAATGTCTGAGATAAATTAAAAGTTTCCTATATTTATATGGTTTAGCAGTGAGGTTTGATGAATGGTAAGCTTCTACAGTACTGATTGATGATAAGACACGCATATTATTCACTTAATATTGTAATGAGGTACCATACATTTTTTCACATGCCATATAGTGTTTCCAATATCAAGCTTCACGGTGTTTTCAGAATAGGGGAAGGCTAAGCCTTTTAATGCAAATTTTTTTAGGACTTTTACATCAAATATTCAAACCTAATTATCTCCAAAACGAATGATCTGACATAAATTCCGCAAGAGACAAAATTTATGGAAAATTGAATGGTATTTTTTATTATTATTATTATTATTTATAAAACGCACTATTTTCTCCGAAAGGGGTAGTGGTGTAGAAGGTATTTCCTATTAGGTGTTCAGGTACCCCACTTTATGCGTCCCTGGTTTATTGCCTATGATGTGCTCACTAAATGTTTAAAATCTTAATCCGGAAACTTAACCGCTCTGCAGCTATTTTTTCCTAGAAAAATTGGCGTGTTGAAACAGCCTGTATATTCTTGGCAGTATGACATATCACTGTACTATACAAATTACTTTTTTTCTAGTGACGCCTTACAATTCCTGAACAATGAGGGACATGTTTACTCCACAGTCAACAATGATACTTTCAAAGCTACTGATTTGGTTTGATTTTTCATTATATACGTGAATGAATTTTTGATATGTATGTGAACTTAGTTTTAAGGTTAATATATGAGTACAAGTTTTCCAATAAAATATTTGTTGTATCTTTTTTACGCTACCCATACACAATATCTCCGTAATTACAAAATTTAAACAAACAAAAAATTTGCTTTTCCTTTTATTGATGACATGGGGGATGTGGGATTTGGATGATTACATCAATATTTATTTTTCTACTTTTACGAATTTTCTGCAAAACTTAGTCGATTTCGATTTGAACAAATATGGTAACCATGCCTGTCAATGCTGGCTTGATTAGAACGATGTTAATATTCGAAATCACACGAAAGTGAGCAGCAGCACAATAGTCTAATGATATTAGCAAATCACGCCAAAATAATTGTAAAGGTTGGTTTTATTGGTGCAAGTTGTTCAAGGGGGCATTTAAAACATATACAAGTTATACAAGGTTATTGTAATTTAAAAATGTGACGCCTATTTTGCAGCTATGGGAACCATTTTTATGGAAAACGCATGTAACAAGGTTGTATGATCACGTTACTTACAACGTTGTTACAGGGAGGCTTTAAATGACTATAAGCAAAACAAGTATTTTCAGCAGTTCTATTTATTAAGTAACATATTTTTAATAACAAAAAAATACGTTCTAAGTTCATCAACGTGTTTCGAAACCAAAACTGAAACTTAAATAAATATTACTGGGTTGCAGTTAATTTCTCATAAAATGTTACATACTTAAGCGGAATATAATCACTCATATCTTCAAGGTTTTTAATTTTTCATCTTTGATTGGAAGAAGGTTGTGATACATTATAGGTAATTTTTCAGATATGATATCAGTGGCAAAAGTCATTGTTTCTTTTCTTTTACGATTGCTTATGGAAATGAATTCCAGGGCTGCATAATATTATGAGATTTTCTCATTCTCAAAGTAGCTGGAGAATCAGCGGTAAGTTGCAGCCACAATCCTTGTGTAATTTTACATTTGGAGTATTTCCATATACAATATTCCAAAGCTGTTAAATTCTCAAAGAAGGCTTGGTGCATTCAGACAACTTTAAAAGGATTTTTAACTTTGGCTTTAGCAATGACATCGATCCACTGGACTGGTTCATAAACCATAGATATTCTTTTTTGTTTACGTACAACGTTGCTACGCGGAAGACTGAAATGGCGCGCTTTACAAATTCGCGTCACAGTGATTGATGCGAGTAAAACAGGCGGGTCTATGTTGTCAACGGGTCCCAATAGGCACATACTACGTTGTTTTACGGAAATCTCATTTTATAGAAAAATGTTACATACAACGTTGTTCCGGTCGACCCTTCAATTAGAAACCATGGGTATTTTCGTCTAATATAGTCCCTTTCCACTTCAAGATTTGTAACAAAATATGCCTTTATAAACTAAACATGACGAAACTATTTAATTCTAAAACAATTTATTTTCTCAAAAACATTTTAGATACACTCTAGTCGTAAAAAATACATATTTGAAATCACTTAGGCCTATAACTAATAGAACAACTGAACAAATAAAAAATGTGCGAAGTTAACAAAGCAACAATTGAAAGATTACCATTGGGTAACATCACCTTTATTTTTTATTACGGCTGAAATTCTTTGGGCATAGTGTTAACCAAGTTTTGACAAAAATTTGGTGTACAACAATCCCATATTTCTTGAAACTTTTGTCTCAGTTCGGTGATTGTACGAGCAGGATGTTGTCGTAGAACCTTTTTCATCTCGCGCCACAAAGTTTTAATAGGTGACAGATATGGACTGCTAGAAACTCATTTCAAAAGTGGTACATTATTTTCTCCCATCCATTTTATAGCCTTTTTTGAGGTATGGCACGCTGCACCATCTTGCTGAAACACAAAATCTTGGCCGGATGTCAAACATTCTTCATCACTGGTAAAAACGATTCTTCTAAAATTGCCAAATATTTGTTTGTATCCACATTTCCAACAATAAAATGAAGTTTTCCTACTCCTTTTGGTAACATACTGCCCCAGACCATAACGGATGCTGGAAATTTCACTTTTCTCTTCAGACAGTCAACATGGAATGCTTCATTTTTTTGCGAATAACTAGTGCGACTGTCACCAACACAAACTTCGAATCGGGACTCATCACTCCATTGTATTGCACACCATGGTTGAGGTGTCCATTGTCTATGCTCTTTAGCCCATCTAAGCCGATTTTTATAAACAAGTCGTGTAACTTTAGGGTTTTAACTTTCCTTTTTTTTATAAGAAAACTTACCTTGCAAGTGCTAAATCCCAGTTTGTGGGCCTCTCTATGAGTTGTGGACATCGAAATTCTCCTTCCAACAGCGTCACCACAGAGCACTTAATTGTGAATAATTGGCACGCCTGTTTTTCACGATTATTCTTCTTAATGCTCTTCGGTCGGCATTTGTGATATTACTTTTTTTCACATATCGTGGCTTAATATTAACTGAACCAGTTACGCTATATCTTCTAACAATATTTCTCACACTACTGTACCGCGATAAGTCTAACAAAGTTGCAATTTCTGAGTTTGATTTCCCAGAATTAAAAAATTTAATTATCAGTAACCGAATTTTCTCACTAATAACCTTTCCTCTACCCATTTTGAAAACCTTAACTACCCAAAACTATTTTAAACGTATTCTGACAGCTGTGATTAATAAAAACAATTGTCATGGCTTTTATTATTCACAGCCACCTATGCGTTATAGACTTATTTTGCATTGAACTGAAAATAGGTTGATATGCTGTAATTGCAACATGTGTTTTTTTGCTGCAAATTTGATTAGGGAGTGATAAAGTTGGTGTTTTCTACTATATATTATCAAAATATTCATTGTTAATATTTTAAACCTATAACACCCTGCTACATTTTTATTATTTGTGCTTGATAAGAAAAAAACTAAGATTTCAATAGTTGGGCCAACTGAAGTGGGAAGGGGCTCGTATATGTTATCTGCTTATTTTTAGGGAGATAGTAAATTGTCCATTTAGCTTGGGTGCTGTGTTTGAGAATGAGAAATAAATAAACATCATTAACTATAGTTTTTATTAAAATAAATCAAAAAAAGTTGACTGCAATGCATTAACACTACCATATTATTTAGCCTGGATAAAATGAAAAACAAATTACCTTTATGACTATATTTACCTGTAACATTACTTGATTCCAAAATATATAATTATATTACAATTACAAATAAAAATTTAAACCTCCAAGCAGCAGTACTTTTCTATTTTGAGCCTATATACAGCAAATTACAATACAAACCTCATCGACACAATAACAAGAAAAGAAAAAACATGAGTCTATAGACTGTCCATCCACCAAAAAAACCTAGCCGATCAATTCATTGTAGACTCGAAAAACCCAGTCGTGATTTTACTTCTTTTGCAATTCTAGGTGTTGTATGTACAAATGACGATCAGCCAGCAAAACTATTTGTTTTGCTGTCCATCTTGATGATGTATTTCTGATTTCAATAATTGCTGGAATACACATCTCACACAATAAAATTTGAGTAGTAATATAAGTACAGGGTGGTCAACATATAACTGACCGATTTAAACTGTGCGCAACATTTGATACACGCAGAAATGGCGCCGTAGTAGTTGTTTAAAGCACATGTGACCAATTCATCATGGAGCGCTAACGATCCCACAACGCGTCCGTATTGTTAAAACGTGTTACTTAAATAATGAGTCGATTGTTGCCACGTATCGGAAGCTACCACGATTTCGGTCGAAATAATGTGCCAAGTGTTAGTTGGTGCGGAAATTAGAACAAACAGGTACAGCTAAAGACTTGCCATGGTCGTGCCGTTTTCGAACTACTACTAAAGTGTAGTGGAGCGACCCGAGACGTCTACAAGACATCGTTCTCAAGAACTAGGTATTCGTCGCACGTCATTATGCACTATTTTATATTAAAAAAAAGACTTGCATTTGTGCCCATATAAAATTCGGTTAACCGAAAAACTACAGCCTTAGTGACCATGAAATTCGCCGACAATATATTCATGCAATATTGCAGCTTAATACCCAAAATAACGATTTTTACCGACAACTGATAATAAGCGATGAAGCCCACTTCGATATGAACGGATTTGTTAATAAGCAGAATTGTCGTATCTGGTTATTAGAGAACACTCGTGTCATCCATCAACACCACTACATCCTCGTCGAGTCACAGTTTGGTGCGGTGTTTGGTATGGGGGTGTCATTGAACCTTACTTCTTTGAAGACGCTGTAGGTAATTCTCTTAATGTCACTGAAGAGCGCTACCGTGATATGGTGCAAAACTTTCCGGCACCTCAAATCCAACAATTTAACCTGCAAAACATGGGGTTCCAGCAGGACGGAGCAACTTGTCACACAGCTAGGGAAACAATGAGTCTTTTGCGAACAATATTTCCAAGACGTTTGATTTCTCGATTTGGTGATGTCAACTGGCCATCAAGGTCACCGGATTTAACGGCTCCTGACTTTTTTTTGGGGATTTTTGAAAAGTACAGATTAAATACTGCAGAGCAGCTGAGGAACAATATTACGGAAGCGATTGAAAATATTCCCCCCGAAACCTACCAAAAAGTGATGAAAAATGTAATCATGAGGGCTCAGGCTTGCGCGGCTTCTAGAGGCGGACTATGGTCTGATATTATTTTTCATACTACATAATTTCTAAGTTTAAATAAAAGATTAAGATGAAAAAAATAGGACAGGTCACAAACCAGTCAGTTACATATCGGCCACCCTGTACAACGCGTTTTTTATGGAATTTTGTGATACATGATGAAAATTTATGAACCTAATGAAGGTGTTCAATAATATAAATGCTATAAAGTACAATGTAAACATGACAGGTGTAAATAAATCTACCTACAAAAATTGTGCTGTATCACTAAAATTGCGCAGATGAATCCCAGTTTTAAAAATCATTCTTTGTAAGAAATTCATCTTCTTCGAAAGACCTTGTTGTATGCATTCAAAATTGTAACAAAACCGATGAAGTCCAAAATTCGAGTAATTTTTATAATATGAAGTCTTTATATGTTTATGCCATTCAACGTAACCATCTAGTTTCTTACTAAGAAAACCGGAACCAGGCAAAAAACTTATGAAACAAATGTTTCGGTATAACATTTACGTTATACTTGATATCCTCTTCATAATGTATTCTTATGAATGTAAGAACATAAAAAGCAGGCAAAACAAATTTTTTTTTGAGCAAGTTTATTACAAACCACTAAAATATACATAACGTGTCCTTCAATTCCTCCACTTTAAAATATTTATTAAAATTTTCGTATAAATGTATATTTGATTTACTTAATTTTGTCCTCCCCCTCCGTTTCACTTTAAATAAAGCAACTGTCCAGTTTGCCAGTTATATGCAATACATATAAATAAAGAATAATGGCTGATAAATTGCAGTACATCTGGCAACATTTGGACCCTATTGAACTAGTAAAGGTTTTTTTAGGCGAATAGGCAATCTAAGGCAGAATCTGGGTATCAACAAGTGCACTACAGAGAATCAACTATTTTGTGGATTTTCAATGGTTTTTAAAATGTTGCACCTATACCTGAATTCCACCCGTTTCAAGGCAAACAGGCATATACACGGCTTTGGGATGATATTTCTGGAAAATATCTTCCAGACTGCAAAAATTTCAATGTATAAAATTGTTAATACACGTTATATCTCTCCAAAATTTCCATCAGCTGTCAGTAACTCGAAGAAATCAGTTTGTTGTTCGGGTACTTTTAAATACCCAATACCGGGTACGGGCGTATTTGCCTTCTCATTTACAATCAACCAGGGAAAAAACGACATTAAAATCGATCAAAAAAACGTAACTATGTAACCATACTGACAATACGATTTTTTCATCTACCGTTACCTACCGTTTATATATAGAGTTAGGTTTCTGTTACATTTGGGCTCACCAGCTAGCTCTTCTTCCACACAAGATAGGTAAGAGATGACAAAAAACCGTTTTGCCAGTGGTATATATAGGTATACTTTGATGGGAGATGGATGTGTTTTGAAAATGGCCTAGTCATCGAAATTTTGCGATAAAAGGAAATTGGCTGCTAGATTTTCATTCTTCTCGCAAGCAAAATACGCCTGCACAACGAGATGCTCGGGGAATCCTAGGGCTTTTAGCCGCTCGATCGCATCTTTGTCTTGGGGCGTCACTTGTATCATGCCTTGGGGAAGGCCTCCAACTCCTGCAGGAACCCCTTGAATGAAGTATATTATGTCAAGTACAGGGTGTCTAGTAGGAAAGTTCACATTTCAAATTTGAATTACGCGGCAACCGTATACGCGAGGAAGTGGGAGAGGTCTTGATCGACGCGTTCGGCGTGCGGGTCAAATAGTCACAAGGAACGTTGGACCGGAGCGCAACGTGCTTTTGCTATCGAGGCTTACTTTACGCAGCTGCCCTTCGGAAATTTTTTTCACGATACAACATTCGCCGACCAAGAGATAGCCCAGCCCAAATAAGAATACAGCAGACGCTCGATAATGTAAACTAATTTAATCCAAGTGTGGTTCACATTATCGAAATGTTTACATTAGCGAACGTGATTTATATAATATTTGATTTATTAAAAGAAACGTTTAATACATACTATTTATAACAAAATAAACAACTATTCTACCAGCGACAAGTATTTTTTTAATTAGAATGACTTCAATGGGATCGTTCTCATCAACCTCACTGTCCATATCCTCCTCCTTATCAGCATCATTCGTCTGCTTATCTTCGTTCCATAAATTAATATCAGCAGGAGTACAAACAATGTTGGGATTCACTGTTTTCAATAAATCAACAACATCCAATGACACACTAATAACATTATCATTATTGGATCGCAAACGTTCTCTAATTACGCTCAAGGGGACATTGTCTTCTTCATCATCTTAATTATTCGTACAAAAGAGATTGTTCCAACATTTTTGAATAGTTTGCTGGTTAAGTTCATTCCAGGCCATATGTAAATCTAAAACAGCTTCTCGTAATGTTACTTTTTTCTTTTTTTAAAGCCTCAGATAAGTTTTCAGGATTCTTTGATAAGACAGACGAAAGTAGAAACTTCCTATAGTATAGTTTGGTGAGTCTTATTATATTCTGGTCCATCGGTTGAATTAACGGTGTTACGTTGGGCGGCATGTACATGAAGAAAATTTACCCATCCCTGCTCCTCAGTTGTTGCTCGGGAGGATGACTTGGTGCATTATCCAATAGTAACAACGCTTTTATTGGAAGCTTCTGTTGTTTTAGGAAACCTTTTACCTACAAATTGAAAACACATCTTCGAATTATGAATAGTGCATTTGTGATAATTGATTGTCATACCTGAGGGACAAAGCACATGTGGAACCATTTCAGGAATATACCGCTAGTCATCCAAGCGGTTTTTGAACAGTCATAATCAACAGGGATATTAATATTTTTAAATGAGCGCGGATTTTTTGCTTTCCCAATCACCAGTGGCTTTATTTTGTGTGAACTTTCATCTGCGTTGTAAATTTGTTCCATTCTTAAATCTAGCTCGGTAATTGTTTTCATCAATTTTTCTTTGAATGGTTGCACTAATTGTGGTTGTGCTGATAATTTTTCACCAGATATAGACAGCAGTCGAATTCCATATCTTGTTTTGAATCGTAGCCAGCCATCACTAGCTACGAAATTTTCAGTTTCTTTCAGTTTTTCATTTAACAGTCTCGCTCTGTGTTTAAGTACTTCGCCACTAACTGGGACATGATTTTCCTGTTGTTTTAAAAACAGGGAATTTTCCATTTTAGGTGCCTTCGCATTTTTTAAAGTTTATCTTTTTCCCGGACCTCCAAATGTATTGCACGTTCTTTGTAAAATTTCGGTTTCCATACGCTTAATTTTACAGATTGTTGCTTTCGATACTCCATATTTTTTTTGCTAACTGTGTCACTCCCGCACCTAGTGCAACTTCGTCTATGATTTTCACTTTCACACTCAACTTTAAACACTTTCTTTTATAGGATGTCGATGCCATAGTCGTAAAATATATTAACGCGTGCAAAGTATTCACTTAAGTTCAAAAATGAAATACATACGTACGTATAAACGTATCCTAAACGATCATACGACTGACCAAGTTTGTCGTATTTTATCGCAGAGGTGGATCCCCTACACTCTACATCATAAATCGGGGACTCCCCGACGCCCGACATAAACCATCGAGGCTTCAGCATTTTACCGTCGCGCTGTTTCCGTACGCCGAGAGTTGTTTACCTTATCGAGTGTACACATTGTTTACGTTATCGCGCGTTCCGTTTGATCCTATAGAACGAAGTTTGTGTTTACATTAGCGCAAGTTTTCATTATCCCGTGTTTACGTTATCGGGCGTCTGCTGTATACTGAAAAAATGACAGAGGAAGAGCTTTTACGTAAAAACACGCTTAAAGACAAATAAATTTCACATAAAATACGTACCTGTAGCCGGAGTACCACCGCCGCCGCCTCCACCACCTTGCGCCGCCTGCGCTGGCAGTGCCCCGCCTCCAACGGTAGCTCCGCCCCCTTGGCCCGGCTCGTTTATCATCCGCACGAACGACTCCTGATTCTGCGAGATCAGTTGCAGCAAAGCAGGGTTCGTCTGGCCGATTTGCTGCAGGACGGCGTTCAGCAGCTGCGGGTTCTGTTGGATGACGCGGCGCATCTGCTGGAATTGCGGCTGTTGACGCAGGAAGGCCAGCGGATCGTTTGCGTCTGATTCACGTTCGTCTACCGATGACATGTCGGCCGATTCTTGCACCTAAATGAAGAATTTATACGAGGTCTGTAAATTAAGTGATGAGACAGGAAACGTAGTGTTCGATCTGGCAACACTGGAGGCGCCGGACTTGGGGGGGGGGGGGGAGATATAGGGAACATTTGACCAATGTTGCCAATCGGCCGAATAAGTTCCGATTTGCGGAACTTTTTGGATCGTGGAGAAACTTTTTCGGAACCTAAAGCTTAGAGGAACTTATTGGAAAATAGGGTTTATTGCGGAACTTTTTGGATCGTGGAGAAACTTTTTCGGAACCTAAAGTTTAGAGGAACTTATTGGAAAATAGGGTTTATCTTAGAAATTTTAAGAATCTTAAACATTTACTGAAAGAAATACAGACAATATCAGTTCATCATCTCAGAAATATCCATGTCTCCCTTCGTCTCAGGTTAAACGACCGAGATGCATAATACTCTGATAATACTGTGTTTATTTTAAAATATAATTCATTAAAATCAACTGTGTTTTGAATTTTATTACATATTTAAATAATAAAAAAAAACATTTTCCGTTCGCAACCCAACATCTATTTTCCTATTTGTCTAATGTGGCAAAATCTTTTTTGCATATTGAAAAATCTGATCTTTTGACAACCTCGCACGGATTTTTTGAAACTCAAGTGTTGATCAGCATTCAGTACAAGTTTGAACTCGCTCGAGTCATTTGTTTGCCCGTTGCATTTTCAGAAGGGAGAGAGTCGATTGTTGATAAACGACGAAGCGGAAGGACTTCATCTTCAAGAACCGATGGAAATACAGGGTGACTTTGAAGTTGAGTCATTAATTTTCAGATAATGATTGTAGAAGGAAGATAAACCAAAATATGTGTGTAAAAATAAAAAAAAAAATAAAAAAAAATTTTTACCTTGTTTTATAAAGTATCCTCCCGAAAAGTATTTCAGTGCGACCTGTATTTGATCGTGAGGTCTTGGAGCACCGGCATGCCGTCACCTGATTCACGAGCCCGTTGTGCTACATTAACAAAGGCACGAGGGGTTGGTTGCACTCGATTGGGAAACCGATCCGCATAAACATGTGCCATTTTTTATTTCGTTTGAGCCACGCAACAGACACCACTATTCACTGACACTGACTGTATACAAATGAATAAAATAATTGTAAAAACATCGTTCCAAATTCTTTCGCTTTTTTGTTTCCGATGCGATGAACCGATACGGCGGATTATATCCGTTGTCGCCAAACACGAGCACATAATATTATTATTGAGACAGGGCGGTACTCAAACTTCCAAAGGGCTATAACTTTGTTACTTTAATTTTACCAGAAAAATGGTAAAGGAAAAAAACATTTCTTTTGATCAGATCTACTCACTGTTAAAATAAATTACTCAACTTCAAAGTCACCCTGTATTGATAGATTGATCGGGACAGAGTTAAATTTGACTCACACTACCGTTTGTCAGATTTTGACCAGGAATGAGAAAAATCTGCGCAAAAATGGTTCAAAAAAACTTTCGTAAGACCAAAAGGACCTCAGGAAGGAAAGGTGCCTTGACTTTTTGGATTCTACGGAAAATGATACCCAGTTTTTGGGACGTGATGTTACTGATGACCAGTTTTGGGTGTTTGAGTACGACCCAGAAACCAACCGCCAGAGCATGGAGTGGCACACTTCAACCTTTCCAAGGCCCAAAAAAGCAATAAAGACGGAGTCAAAGATTGAATACATTCTGATTTCGAGAAAGGATGATTTGTGAGACACAACATCAAGAACAACTGGGTGTTGCATCATGATAATGCTTCTTATCACACAGCAATGCCTATAAGTCAGTTTTTGGAAAGTAAAACATTCCTGTTGCTCCTCGAAAACATTCAAACGTACCGACCAGCTGACGGCTGTTCCAGTATCGGAATTCCAGCGCTGCTATGTGAAGTGGAAGAACCGTCTCCAGAACTGTGTGGCTTCAGAAGGGAGTTGAGGGTGAGTGTGATAACAGAAAATTGTGATTATATTTTAAAAAAAACAGTCCCTATACTTAATTTACAGACCTCGTATGCTGCAGGCAAAGTGCAAGGCATGGCCAAACCTAGCAGCAACTGGTCAAACCGTGATGTAATTGAAAATTTCGAGAATCCTCTTAAATTTCAGACTATTATTGTGTTTCTTTCAGTATTTGTAGCTTACGAGCTTTCTTTTCAACGTGAAAAAGGAATCCTGACAGAATGAGTATCAGTGGTGAACGGCATGTGAGCGTCTAACGGCAATAGAGGCCCGGTATTCTCGTTCTTCAAAAAACAAAGCGTTTCAAGTCAAAACGTTCGGGCTCTTCAAATAAAACTATTTAACCTGCAACACATGTGGTTCTAGCAGGACGGCCCAACTTGTCGCACAGCTAGGGAAACAATGAATTTTTTGCAAACAATATTTCCAGGACGTTTAATTTCTCGATGTCAACCAGCTACCAAGGTCTCCAGATTTAACGGCTCCTGCCTTTTTTTCTGGGTATTTTTGAAAAATAGGATTTATGCCAAGAAATCAAATGCTGTAGAGCAGCTGAAGAACAATATTACGGAAGCCATTGAAAATATTCCTCCCTAGAGGCGGACATTTTTCTGATATTAATTTTTATACATAATTTCTAAGTTTCAATAAAAGATTAAAATGAAAAAATGGACGTATTTTATTTATATATTAATATTCAAGACTCAAACCAGTCAGTTACATATCGGCCAAACTGAATTTTCATATTAATTGATCGAAATAAAAAACTTACCGCTTCTTGCTCATCTACGACGGGAATACCAGTAATAAGATATTCTACAGCTCGATCTGGATTGTTAAAACTAGCTCTTAGCGCCCTTTCCACCTGATCGCGAGCATATCTGAAAGAAATTTTACAATAATAGTGATGCTTGTCATATCCAACACACTCTGAAAAAGGTTCTATCAGACAAAAATACATTCTAGATTTTAATTAAATATATTACATTTGTTATGGCGATAATGGTGTTTCCCTGCATTTTGTATGAGTCATGATAATAGATATAATATTATGGATATAAATATGTTTATGAACTGTACCGAATTATCTCCGTGGTATGTTTTACCTCCACAAAACGATTACTTTTGGCTGATTAGTTGCTATCAGAACACGGACACCGCATGTTTATCATTTTTTTGTACAGGGTGTCCCAGGCGTCAATGTCAAGCTGGAAACGGTGAATAGGTCACAGTTATCTGCACCCTGTAATGATCTTTTAGATCACATTACTATAGTAGTAGTCACCGTTCTTGGGATGTCAAAGTAATACTACCAGTATCCCTTTATATATCCCCATCTCCCTCATACATACACATGCAACCTACCCCTGTGTGTGAACGTTTGTTCAGTAAGCTCAAAGACATACGTTTTTTAGTTGTGGGTCGCCGTCTCGCAAACTTTGTCGTTACGTATGAATGGCCTACAATGCCCGGACATATGATCAATGGAGAAGGCCGACAGCTCGTGCTATATTTATTAGAGTATTTCCAGGAAGAGAATGAAAACAGCGTCCCCTGTTACCCACTTGATGTGTACTGGAGAGAGTAGCAGATGTGAAGATCCGCCCATGGTACGGAGACTCGATCTGTTTACTTATTTCAAATGGTGTTGATGACGTAACCGCCAAGGTGGTGTCTACGACTATATAAATTTCAATATTTTTCTTCGACGATGGATAGTGTCATTCTATGTAGTGACAGCAAGTCAGACAGTAAGGCCTCTTTTATTAATTCGTGAATGTACCGGGTGCGCCATCTTTTATGTCGGTATTGAAACATTGAATGACTTTGATATTTACCAACCGAGTGATTTGGTTATACGTGTTTCTGAAATTTACTACAATTTTTATCATGAATCGCTTTACATCGAAACAACGCGCCGAAATAGTCACAATGTACTTTGAAAATCGTCGTTCAGTTGTGTTAACACAACGTGCATATCGTCGAAAATATCGTGGCAAACAGGCACCGTCGGACTACACTATCCGTCCTCTGAGAGTAAACGGCGCACATTTACAAAAACTCGGTGATCGGCGAGCGAGATTTGGTTACCTTTCACGATAAAGCCTAGCTGCAGCACTAGCATTACATCTACATTGCCCATAAATGAGGTGCACGTTGGCGTATTTCTGTACGCTGTTGACAAACATGGTGGCACTACATAATCATACATTAATAAAAGGGGCGTTACTATCTGTCTTGCTGTCACTATGTAGAATGACACTGCCAGTCACTCTGTCTAAGAAAAAAATAGAAATTTGTAGTAATTTGAACTGAAACATCATCACGTGGTGGAGATTTTTCTGTTTTTTTTTATATTTTTCTGATAACTATTATGACTTAGCCTATCCCCTGTTTCCGGTTTGACCTCGACTTCTGGGACACCCTGTATATAGTGCATACATTTTCCATTGAAACAGAAATGCAATAGGTTTATTTACTATAGTTTGAGACATAGAATTGTAGATTTTTACGACATAATAACAATAAAGTGAGGAGGAAGCGCTTCCGGTATTCACGATACACTAATTATGGATTCTTCCACTTAATAGAACACTATACGGACCTGAGCATCTAGAGGAAGGCTGGCTGCATAGTGGAGCATCCCATAATAATAAAAAAAATGAGCATTTTAGGAAAGAAATGACTAAACATGAGTCCCTCGGCATGCTGACGCTGATACACGAGCGTTCTTTCTTGACATTTTATCACGCAAACTCGTTATTCTGCCATGAACGGAATCTTTCCGTAATGGTTGCTGCTTGTCATCTCGACACGAAAAAATTCGATTACAGTGACGAATTTTCCCACGAAATGTCAAACATTCCAGGAGGTATGACTGAAGATTTCCTTCCATAACAAAAGTCGAGAGGCAGGATTGACATTGGCTCTTGCGACAAGAAAGAATGGCATATTTCATGACTATAAAGAGCACTCGTGTAGAGACAGTAATTATGATGAACGTTTGGTAGCTCACCCCATATCGGTGATGTTCCGCACCATATTCTCATACTCCTCCCCCATAAGAAGGGCGGATTCCGCAGCCGCACTACTGAGCGCTTGGGCGGCACCAGGAGGCGTGGCCTGGCCGGTGGTTGCAGAATCTGTAGAGGGAGTGGTCGGTGCAGGCGTTGACGCTGGAGCCGCCGCCGGTTGAGTGGCTGCGGCAGGGGGTTGTGCTGTCGTCGTTGCGGCTGGGGTACTGTAAAAACGAAAATAGGATGTATTAAGCGCGTGTTCAGTCTTTTGTAGGGCTTGAAACTTGGGGGTTGTAAATATAACGTCGCTAGTATTAGTCAAAGACGTTCTGATCCCGGTAACAACTGGAAAATTAAATGTATAATTCGAAATAACTTTGCAATCGTTGGCGGTGCGTGCACGGCGCGATACTGCATCGTCATGGAGGTCACTGCCGACTGCGCGATGGGTAACAGACTCCAACTAGTCTGCGGTGGTGTCGTCAACAGCTCATCACCGCAGGAGAAACATTTATACATTTTAGCAATATTTGGATATTAGGATTACGTACCACTTTAGCGTTGTGCGATGCTTTTTTAAATGACGACTTGACTGCTTTTATGTCTTCATATGTATTTTTCTAAATTTTATGATCCTTAAATGTACCACCCATTTTTTATAATATATTTGAATGATATGGAACTTGTTCAGAGAAGTAGCTCCATAAATCTATTTGCCGATGACACACTTGTGTACTCAGCCTGCAAAAACCTGAATGAGGCTATCGATATTGTGAACAGTGACCTTGCAAACATTGATACATATTTAAAAAATGAACAAATTGAGGTTGAACACTCAAAAATCAAAAGCAATGGTAATATCAAGCAGAAGTAAATACAAGAATATAATAAAAGCTAATATCCAAATTAAAATTGAAAAGACAGTTCTTGATATAGTTGATACAATGATTTAAGTTGGATAAAAACCTAAACTTTAACAGCCATAGTGATTATATTATTAAGAAAATTTCAAAGAAACTTTATTTTTTTTCAAGAGTTTCTAAACAGCTATCAATGTTTGCAAGAATTACGGTTTACAATACAATAATAAAACCTCATTTTCAGTACTGTTCATCTTTATTATATTTCTTTAGCAAGAACAAAATAGGCACCTTACAAAAACTTCGAAATAGGGGAAAGCGGATAATTTTACAGTGCTCTAGGTACACAAGAATTGAATATTTGCTGGATAATCTACAGTGGTTATCGGTGAATCAACATCTTTATTTAACAGCAATGCTATTTATTTATAAAATTGTGAAGGGAACAGTACAAAGGTCTATGTGAATACAATAAGTTGCCCCGGCAAATAAAAAACGCCGACTCAGTCGGGTATTTCAAGAAAGCACTTATCAAACACATAAGATCTGACAGAATTTGTTAAATTTATTATATTTGAATATTATATATGTATGTACTTCTGAAATGCTGTAATGCTACCAGTTGTTGTTGTTGTTGTTGTTGAAACTAGGATTTTTTTTTCTAAATAAAGGACTACTACTACTACTACTACCCATTTCGCCTAACCTTTAAGGTGCGTTACTCTGTCGGTGATGGTTCTCCGAATATTTTTTCAAGTAGATTCACTCAGTACTTAAGGCGCATTGATATATAACATAAATAATAACAATGAGTAATTTAATATACCAGTTGACCGATGAGAGTTTGGACTGAATTTCAAAAATAATTCTTAAAGGCATCAGCTAAATCCATTTCACAGATCTGTTTGCCATCTTCTACAAACAAAGTGTGGGCGCCCAAATAGGATCTAGCCAGCAATTCCCCCCTGCCAGAAAAACGTTAAATCGCAGAGAACAGAGTGCAATTAAATCAGTTTGAGTTACTGCATAGTGTGGAAATCATAAGGAGCAAATCATAAAGCGGAAATCAAAGCATAAAACATACATCATAAAGCATAAATCATAAGGCGGACATCGTAAAGCCCAAATCCTAAAGCGAAAATAAGTTATTTTTTTTTTAATTAAAAGTGACTCAGTGCATCCTCCTGTTATATTTTCACCTGCATGAAGACAATGATATCGTACCAGTACCACTTCCAATGCAAGCAAACTGAACATTATTCAGAAAGTAAATATGATATTTAATTATAAAAGTGTCTGTACACTTGTTTTAGTTAAAATGCCAAATTTTGATGAAGCTATCAAGAGTGTGCATGATCAAAATTTGAGAAACTGGAACTATATAAAAAATTTCAGTCAGAAATGTGAAGCTTACTACTTATGAAAATTGAGGAAACTAAATGCACTGTCATTGAGTTGTAGAAAGAAAACAACAATGTCAGAGACCAAGTCGAATTACTCATTAGAGCAATTGAAGAAAAATATTACAACATTTGGTCTTATCAAAAAATGAGGTTTTATTTTTATTTTATGAAAACAATGCACTCTAGGAAAAAAACACAAGAGTAATTATTTGTAACAAATCAAAGGTACAATTCAAAAAATTGCATTAAAAAAAACAGTGGCATACTATTTTATTTTGGAAAAATAATGCCACTAATCCCCTGTACCTCCTCCACTAGTGCACGTCAATTTTAAGTAAAGACTTTTGAATGTGGAAGTCCACATACCAAATTTTGGTTCATTCAAGTTGACAGTTTTGAAGGTATTAAGAAAAATAATTATTTATTTTTAAACTTCAACACCTCATATCTTTTTATTTTATTTTATTCATTACAGCACCCTACAGTAAATACCAATTACAGGGTGAGGAAACACAGAACATAACACAGATATAAAAGACAATAATAAGTAATAGACTACAAAGTGTAAAAGATACATGCTGGTTACTTAATAGTATTTTTTATGTCTGCAATTCTGCAGTTAAATATATCAATCCTGTTACTTGCAGAATTGTAATTCCTACACATCACATGTAAAGGGGAATAGTGTAAATAATTTGTCCGTGCCGCAGGCAGATAAAACGTAACGTTTTGTCGGGATGTCAGCCTAGGTACGTTAAATGATAACTGACCCAAGAAAACTAAATCATCACTAGCATTATTGATCAATTTAAACAGAAAAATCACTGACTGACAAGTGCGCCTTGCTTCAAGACTGCTGATTACGATGGTTTTCAAGTAAGGAATCATGAGGTATACCTATGGGCGGCTAAACGCCATCCACTTTCAGTGACAAATATTTTAAGAAACGTCTTTGAACACATTCAAGCCTACTTATATGAATAATATGATGCGGATTCCAAATTAGCAATGCATACTCAAGCTTCGACCTAACATATGCATAATACAGCAAGGTGGTACTCTGAGTGAAGTCACGGCAGTTTCTTACAATAAAGCCGTACATGCGTACATTGGTGTCAATGTGTTTGGCGAATGTTAGTTCGGAGTCAAATGTCACGCCTAAGTCACATAAAGTTGAAGTCCTCTGAATAGAGCTACCTGACAGGGTATAGTCAAATAACAGAGGATTTTTCTTCAAAGTGTATGACATTACGTAACATTTATTGATGTTCAATGACAGATTGTTTTGTGAGCACCAAGCATCCAACCTGATCAGATTTTCTAAAAGTTGATCACAGTCTGATTCATCAACTACATGACAAAACATCTTCAGATCATCAGCGTAAAGTAAACAATTCTCGCCAACAGCATTAACTATGTCATTCACAAATATGACGAACAATAAAGGGCCTAGGTTACTGCCTTGTGGCACTCCGGAATTGGCTACATACTTCGACGATCTGATGCCATTAAACATCACAAACTGATTTCTTCCAGTGAGGTAGGACTTAAATAGTTGTTTTAAAGGATCGGATAATCCATGAGATTTCAGCTTATGCAATAGCATCCTGTGATCAACTCTCTCGAAAGCCTTGGAGAAGTCTGTGTAGACCACATCTGTTTGTAATCCTCTGTCAATGTTTTCTGCTATGGTCTGTGTGAAGTTCATCAGATTTGATACTGTTGAGCGCCCTTTCATGAAACCATGTTGTTGAACACATATTTTTCTGCTGACATGATGATATAGTCTGTTATAACGGGTGATTTTTTAAGAGGTATAGGATTTGATTTTCAAAAAAAAAACACAAAAAAATTGAAAAAGCGATTAAATCTTTATTTGAGTCGATAGATCGGTCGATATAATTTAATGTTTAAAGATTATTTCATGTAAATGTTGGCCGCGGCTCCGCTTTAGACGGCCCATACGCAAGGTCCAATTTTGGCACACTCTCTCCAACATATCGGCCGGTATCTCACGAATAAGTGCTTCAATATTGGCTTCCAGTGCGTCAGTCGTTGCTGGTTTATCCCTGTAGACATTAGCCTTAACGTGGCCCCACAAGAAATAGTCCAAGGGCGTTAAACCACACGATCTAGGCGGCCAATTGACGGGCCCCAAACGTGAGATAAACTGTTCACCGAACTCGCCTCTCAATAGGGCCATTGTTTCGTGTGCGGTGTGGCATGTGGCACCGTCTTGTTGAAACCACATGTCAGCCAAGTCCAGCTCTTCCATTTTGGGCAAAAAAAAAGTTTGTTATCATCGCACGGTAGCGCTTGCCATTCACAGTTACGTTCCGGCCATTGTCGTCTTTGAAGAAGTACGGCCCGATGATGCCACCGGCCCATAATCCACACCAAACAGTGATTTTTTCGGGATGCATTGGTAGCTCTTGCAATGCTTCTGGCTGGTCTTCACTCCAGATGCGGCAATTTTGCTTGTTAACGTACCCATTCAACCAGAAATGAGCTTCGTCGTTGAACACAATTTTTCGATAAAAATGTGGATCTTCCCCAACTTTGCCAGCGCCCATTCACCAAATGGGAAACGGTGTAGGAGGTCGTGTGGCTTCAATTCTTGCACCAGCTGTATCTTATAAGGTTTTACACCCAAGTCCTGTCGCAAAATTTTGCACGTAGTGGAGTAACAGAGGCCCAATCGGCGGCGGCGAATCGACATTTCACGGTCATCACTAACACTGGCGGATACAGCCGCAATATTTTCTTCAGTCCTCACTCTACGTCTGCGTGTTGGTGGTTTAATGTCCAATAATGAAAACTGGGTTCGAAATTTAGTCACAAGCTTCCGAATAGCTACCTCAGTAGGCCGACCAAATTGCCCATAAATTGGAAGCAGTGCTCGATGCACTCTCTTAACCGAGCATGAATTTTGATAGTAAAATTCAATAATTTGCAAGCCATGTTCATTCATAAGTCGATTCATGGTTAAATTATAGACCAAACTGAACAAGTTTGACAATGACACAAGACACGATTCACGCATCATCTGTCAAAAACAGTGTTGCCAAAAAGATACTAGCAAAAATATCACCCATTATATTAATATCGCTAGAGCTTTTGAAAAATTGCACAATATTGATATAGGTCTAAAATTTTATACAGCATTCCTACTGCCGTTTTTGTGTTTTGGACATACTTTAGACAACTTCCATAATTCTGGAATTGTGCAGGTGGTAAGGCACAAGTTGAATAAAATGGTCAAAGGACACGCCCTCAAGGAAAAAATGTTACATAGAAGACCCCCCTCAAAATGCAGTCCTGTGTATGATGTTTCATTTTTGGTCACAACTTGTGAATCACTCTGTATGTCTACATCACTTTGTAATATTATTTCTATCTATTTGCTACCTAATCATATTTAAGTTCCTCATATTTTGTAGTACTTGGTTCAAATTGACACAATCAGGGTACATTTTCTCCAGACTCCAGGTTTAACACGTTCACTGCGAACGACGCTGATCCGCGTCCGACCGATGTTTAACGAAAGGCGGCGGGCGCGGATCCGCGCTTCTGGCTGATATAAACTCACAAGACTGTGGTGTTGTCAATTTGTACCGCACTCGCTTTCTATTTGGTCGCCTACATATTGAACATCTTTTTGGACTATTTTACGCGTGGGATCAAGTTTCGTTTATTTTTACATTGCGCAATGGCGGATGATGTGGAAGCAGGTTGTTCACTTCCAAAACGAGTGAAAACGTATTGTAACTGTAATAAAGGGCTTACAGAGAAAGAACTGTATGATATTCTTGCCAATTCGGGGAGTGAAATCGAAAATCTAAGTGACTCAGACAATTATGTTCCCAGTCAGATGGAAGTGAGCAGTCTGATGGAAATATGTCTGAAACGAGTGATGATTTTTCCAGCCCACAGAAAAATCTTTAATAGGGTTTCAAGACATGTTTCGTGTTACTGCACGAAAAAAAACGAGATAGAAGAAGAAAATGTATATATGAAATAGTTTTCAATTACACAACGCACATCCAATAGGCTTACGACGCGAATCCGCGCTTCGCTTGTGCAGCGCCTAAAATCGTTTAGCCGCTACCGTGCGCGCGGCGCGAGGCAGGTCGCAGCGAACGTGTTAAACAACTGTTCTCCCTTATGAAGTTGCATTATAAAAAGACTGGCAGTACACTAACATAGATAATAAAATTGTTATTCAAATAAGAGACATGTATTATTCCTTGTTCAAACCTCAATTACTCGGCATCAGAACAAACATAAGCAATCAACCACTGCTTCTATCCATTTATTGCTGCTTCCCCTGGCATTTTTGGCTCTTTGGCCAGGAGTGCATGAATTTCAACATCACGCTGCTAGTGTCTGAATATACTTTGAGGGTTTGGCAATCTTACCTTGTATTTCCATCTCCGCTCTCTGTCTTCTCAGGTTGTTTGGGTTTTGTCACCATAACCACAATAAACTTTTTCTCGTCGATGCTGTATTCTGCCAGTGGAGTCTCATCGGTAAGTATTTTACCTGCAAGTCACAAATGAATCATACCCCTACTCATTACCGAATAAAGTGCGGTTACTAACCTGCATAGATCAGTCTTTGATTCTCGCACGGATACTCCTTCCCTTTTTCCGTTTCGATCCTCCTCTTCAGCTCTTTCACCTGGACAAAACGTTGATTAGTACTTCAGTAAATGAGTAGTTTTAGCGGCAATACTCACCGTTTTTGTCGGCTCTATCTCCACGACGAAAGTCTGCTGTTGCAGATTCTTCAGTGTAATTTTCATCTTGCCCTTTCTAATTCTTACTACAATAGTCTTAAAAAGTTAAACAATTGGTTTCTTCGCCGATAATTACGCACCGATGTTTATTTTTGGCTAAATATTTTTCAGGAATGATTTAGCACAACTGATAGATTTGACGGCCATATTATTTTGGACAGGTATCATGGAATTGACAGATCCCGAACGAAAGCTGACATACACACCATAAAGAGATGACGCCAATTCGATGGTCTTAGGGTAGCTACAGACGAGAAATCAATCGGCGACGTAAACGTTGATATAAGATGAATGTCATTTTTTAAGTAGTAATCGTTTTGTAATCGAGTCGAAAAAATTTTAATTATGAATGTAAATTGTATCCCAACATATGAACACTTTTTAAGATAGTCACCATAAACATTCAACTGCATGCGGTACATTTTGATGGATTTTATTCGCAGACAGTGCCTATTACAATACGTTAATATTTAGATAATTAGAGATATACAACCTAATTTCTGGCTGCATGGCTTTGTCCTAAAGCAAAAAAAAATACCTATGTTAATTTTATATGATGCTTAATGTAATTTGGACTTATTAAAATGAAATGTTAATTGTGTTTGGTTAGCATAGATTTATATGTAGCAATGTTCTCCACACTCATGCAGATCAAACGTGTATACTAGGAATAAAAGAGGTATCGGTACTGAACCCAGAGGAACTCCTGATGAACCATACTGTTCCTTTAGATATTTTCACTTTTTGGGTGCGATGAGTTAGGTAGGATATGAAGAAATTAAAAGGAACTTCTGGCGTGCCATAACACTTTAGCTTACTCAAAAGAATCCCATGATTGACCGTCGTAACGAAACCTTGTAAAAAATCGTCAAGGTCAACCAGTGGAAACAAATTACACTGATGAACACAGGATTGGTTACATGACAATTTTTGGATGTATCTTATGTATTTTGAGATCCTTAAATTAAATCCAAAAATAGATTTTTTCTATCACCCATAGATGTTCGATAACATCTACTTTTATGAATTACAATACGTAACATCTCATATTGCTGCATTGCAACATTATGAGATTAATGTTTATTCGAGTGTTTATTAGTACTCTTACACACATATCCTTATAGGGTGGCGCAGAGGAAACGCATGTTTTCTGACCGAATGGTATTTCGCACAGAATATGGATATGACCTCGCCGCACCGCCAGCAGAGAACACATGCGATGCAGTTTCAGCCATGGCACCGTGGATGACGGAGCATCGTGTGTTTGCCGTCGAGCAATTTTTTCGAAACGATGATTCTGTAGTGATCGTGCAACGTTTATTCCGTCGACAGTTCAATGTTGAACGCCACGGGCCAATTCCAGATCGAAACACAATACTCCGATGGGTTGAAGCATTTCGAAGTACTGAATCCGTAATGAAGAGGAAGCCACCTGGCCTTCCCCGTACCGTGCGGACTCCAGGCAATATCGAAACAGTGAGAAGAGCGGTCCTTGATAGTCCCCAACGGTCCACTAGGCGCCAAGCTCCAACTCTGCGTATGTCCCGTCGGTCGTTACAACGCATTCTGCATGACGATTTACAATATCATCCGTACAAGATAATGATCGTGCAAGAGCTAACGGAAAGCGATTTTGCACAGCGTAGAGAATTTTGTGCGAGAATGCGGGCCATTTTTGCTGACGATCCTGACGTCGTCATAATGATGAGTGACGAAGCACACTTGCATTTAACAGGATATGTAAACAAGCAGAACTGTAGGTATTGGGCGGCCGAAAATCCACGAGAGCTACACCAACGACCCTTGCATAGTCAAAAATTAACTGTGTGGTGCGGAATCAGTAAATTAGGTATCGTTGGTCCTTACTTTGTTGAAGAGGAAGAAAGAGCAGTAACAGTTACTTCAGCACGTTATGTTCACATGTTACAAAATTTTCTGTTACCCGAACTTCAACGGCAACAAGTAAACATGGGAGAGCTGTGGTTCCAACAAGACGGTGCCACAGCTCACACAGCGAGAGCATCAATGGAATGGATTCGACAGATGTTTCCTGAACATGTGATTTCCCGTTTCGGCGATGTCCCTTGGCCCCCACGCTCCCCAGATTTGTCCGCATGCGACTTTTTTTTGTGGGGTTACCTTAAGGATAAAGTGTACCCTCACAAGCCTCGTACGTTACAGGAACTGAAAATTGCTATTCGTCAAGAAATTGCAAGAATACCACAAGAAATGATTTTACGTGTAATGCACAACTTTCAAGAGCGGTTGGAGATGTGCGAGCGCGAAGCAGGGCGACACTTGAGTGACGTTATTTACCATCATTAGTTTAAAAGTGCACTATCATTACTTTATTTAGCTGTAACTGAAACAAAGTTATCTTGAAAATAAAAAATGTTATGCTTAGGTGAAAATCGTGCGTTTCCTCTGCGCCACCCTGTATTTTCGGAGTATAAGCAGCAAATAAAATGCCTCATTGCAAGAAAACCGTGGGTGATAGAAAAAATCGAATGCTATTTCCGGCGTTTTGGGTACGTTTTACGTAATAACCACCTTGTTTTATTCATGTCACAAGAAATTCTTTTAATTTTGTTCACCAGTGTTATTATTGTCAAAATACTCAACGGGCTGAAGGTATACTATCTTCTCCAATACTTTCGATAAGAAACATAAGCCACTATGGTTTATTATTTATGGAAAAACGTGTGACTATTGTCTCCTTCCAGTTGGATGGGATAACACCTCTCTCCAAGCAGATATTAATAATATACGTGATGTGATTAAGTATTTAAGGCAGGGAGGCAGGCATAAGCCTAGTATAGTAAGAATCTAGCAAATAGCAAAAGAAGCGACGCTCTTTGTAGAATATTTTTATTTGCTATAAACACAGTATAAAAATGGTATGCATCTTAAAAATTAACAATAAAACAAGTATCTTCTTCTCAATCTATATTCAATCATGGTGTCTATTATGGTGTTTCTCCTGTTCCTTCTGATTTCTATGGTTCTTCTCCTGAGCGTGTTCATGGGAAGAATAATGTTTCATCTCAGCATGATGCCCATCCTGATGATGTTGCTTTTCTTGACCCTTGTGTTGGTTATTATGGTGTTTCTCTTCACCACGATATTGATTGTGGTGTTTCTCTTGTCCGTGGTGTTGGTTATAGTGCTTGACTTCGCTATTATGCTGCGGGTGATGCTTCTCTAGACCGTGATATTGGTTATGGTGCTTTTCTTGGCCATGATGATCGTTATGGTGCTTTTCTTGGCCGTGGTGCTGTTGCCAATGATGTTTGTCGTGAGCTGAGGAAATAAATAGTGTAGTTGGATAGGATATTTAATTGAGGATGCATAGAGAAAGCTTCACAGAATATCGAAAGACATTGCAATTAGGAAGATTTTCGAACTATCACAAATTACACTTTTTAGGAGTGTCACATTTACGAGGTGAAAAATTATTGTCACCGTGAGTTACATGAGAAACGTGAATGATTAGGAAGTACTGAGTCAGTCTACAATAGATTTCGATTAACAAATTCAGACTAGGAAGGAGCTAGTCAAGGATTTGTTTGTCTTGTATTTCTCATAGTCTGTAGTGAGTATCAAAGTACACTTGAAACAAGTAAATTTTTTGGCAGTTCTGACATTTAATTCGTATATTTAGTGTTATTTTTTAAAAGTGCGATTGTTTGCAGACAATTATTGTAGTACATAATTTGCAAGGACCGGCACAAGCCTAATGAAGGTAGATGTTTCCATCGGTAAGCATTATTGCTATGTTGATGCAATGCTTTTACTTATATCGGCATTGGTAGAGAAATGAGTCAAAAGTATGAACTAAAACTACGCAATTTTGGCGAAAAACAAATCAATGTAAAAACGTAGGCTTGTATTCCTGTAATCTAATCGAATTTGTGAACGACGAAGGATATTTGTCGATACTGATTGTCGACTCATATCGATATATCAAAAAAGTGGAGTCAAGTAGACTGACTATATATATATATATATATATATATATCAAACTACATGAACCAAACCTATCCTATTTATATTTCCGACATAAATATTGGTCTTGGTTCATCCCTAGTCTACATATCATTGTTTACTATATGCGTTGTTAAAGCAGTAGGAATCGTAAGCATTATTTTTTGATATTCCAAAAAAGCAGAGCTGAAAATTGATTGTTCCTTTGTTGTACATTTATTTAGCGTTAATGTTTTATTATCAATGTTATACAGAATAGCACATAATAGTTTACGTCTTCAAGTTTACATAATTATTGCTATACAAAATTTCACTACTATTAATTCTGGTATTCCATGGATTTTTTTTAATTACCCCTTGAATATTTTTAAACTGACACACATCTTGATAATATTATTTAATTTATTAAATCCGTAGAATCAGTTCTGAAATGCTGATTTGTTTGTTATATTGCTACCACAATTTTGTAAATGAAAGTCTATACTTCCTCCAGTGGAATAACTGTGGATATATTGTTCAATTCAATACTATTTTCTAAATAATTTGTTAAACGATGATTTTTTTTAAATTGAAGATCAAGATGGAAACCAAGAAGGTTATGAAATTTGTTGTAATTAAGCATTGTACATAGTTGTGTCAGCATAAAATTTATTTTAATATATTTATTTTTATTTAAGATGATTCGCATAGCTTTATTTTGCGATATTTATAATTTTGAAAATATAGTTTCGTTTGCCGTGAACAAAACAGTCGCACAATATAACAAATGAGGAAGAACGATAGTGATGTTCACATTTTTTTAAAATAAACACTTAGGCTATGCGGACGTCTATAAAAGTAATTTATCTTTTTGGATATTGTTTTAAATAATATATTCATAGTGCCCTTCAAATTTTAGTTTGTTGTCTACATCTATGCCCGAATATTTAAATGATTCGATTAACTAAAATTAATCAAAATCATTTTGTGTTTCTGATCGAAATTTCTAAGGTTTAAAAAACTTCGTGTATTTGTGTTTTTACCTTGAAAACCATGTGATGATCCATGACGACGGGCTTCTGTGAACAAAATTATATATTATTTATGGCATTTTCAAAAACGAAATATGTTACCTTCTGATGGACCTCCTGTATGCAATCCACCATTTTCATCAATACATCTACATGGACATTGTGGTAGTTCTCCTGAAATATAATTTATTACATAAGAGCTTTTTATAATTTCTTTCTGCAAATTGATTTCTACAACAAGCGTATAATCGGGCTCTGGAGCACTGGCTCTTGATAGGTATATGGGGAACTCAAGACTAAAACTGCACCAGCTGAAAGGGGCTTTGCGAAATTACAAGGGATTCAGTTATCGTGGGACTTCTATGAGACAACTATGGCCATCAGACTTGATACTCTCTTCAGAAGCAGAAAATTGAAAAACTTTAAGATCAACTCCAGCTATGGATGATTTAACAAAATAGTTTTGCGAAAAAAGCATTGTCGGGTAATTTGATTCGGTATTTTCGAAAGCGTATTCACATTACGCCTATTTTTATATTTTCCATATCCATAGATTGAAAATATTTGACACGCGGATGTTGTTTGAGTATATGTATTACTTTTATATGTTGTGGGTTTGGGCCTCATAATAACGCTCTAACCTGAAGTAATCTGAAACGGTGAAAACAAGATTACGCCCAAACTTACTTTGTGAATAATATTCCTAAAATATACAAATATCTCCCTGTAGCGGTGTGTCCGTGTCGACATCGCCGCAGAATACCAGTTAGAGTTCTTTTTTATCGTTTCCGGGAGAAATACGACCAAGGTCCCCGATGGCACTGCAGCCTCTAGGGTTTATTGTGCCTCCCCTACCTACCAGTTCGAGTAAGTTACATATTGCGCTTGCCACAGGAGTAGCACAGTTATCATTTAATTTTCCCGTTGTTAATGATAGAACGTCTCTGACAAATACTTAAGATGTAGGATTTACAACTTTCAGCTACTACAATTTTTTTTTCAAAAATGACCAGGAACATCTGAAACGTCGAAATTTTTTTGAATTTTTTCGCGATTATGATACTACATCTATTACTTTTTTTCTATTTGAAAAATCAACACCCTTTTTACGAGGTGAAATCAAATTTTTTTATTGATAAATGAAGGTTGGTTTATGCCATTTATGTATGAAAAATAACATCAGTCAGGTGACCACCGCGGCTTTCTTTACAGGCAACATCCGAACATCAAAATTTTCAATTACTTTTCTCAGATTAATCGGGTCTATGGACGCAATTTCACTCCGAATATTGCGCTTTAGGTCTTCAATTGTCCGGGGACCATTCGCACACACTTTTCCTTTCAAAAATCCCCAAAGAAAATAGTCAAGAGGTGCTACATCGCACGATCTCGGGGGCCAACTGACATCTGAATTTCGTGAAATTATGCGGTCTTGGAATTTCGTGTGCAATAAGGCAATTGTTTGGCGAGATGTGCCAGCCGTTGCTCCGTCTTGATGAAACCAAAGATCGTCGCACCAATACGATTCAATTTTGGCCACAAAAAGTCTGTTAACATGCCGCGATAACTTTCCCCGTTGACGGTAATGGCCTTTTCTTCGCCATCTTCAAAGAAGAATGGTCCAACGATGCCACCAGCCCATAATCCGCACCAAACAGTCACTTTTTTAGGATGGAGAGGTTGTTCATGATATTGGCGTGGATTTTCAGCCCCCCGGAATCTGCAATTTTGTTTATTTACGTACCCATTGAGGTGAAAATGAGCACTTTGGCCGAAAATCCGGCTTCTCTTTTCAGCATCCAATTAACAAAAACACGCCGGTGTTGGTGGTCTGCCGGCTTCAATTCTTGTGTTAGTTGGATTTTGTATATGACGTCAGTTACACGAATTGCTTGAACGCGTTGGTTTTAACCGCGGTTTTGTTGCAAGTTGTTTATTTTAGAAAAGCGCGTATATAATCTCTGATTATTTTTATTATCACTTAATAATCGGTGCTTTTTCATCTACAACTGTGGATGGAAAGTTTAAATAAGAAACCTTTCATAATATTCATGGGAGAAATGTTTTTTCAGATTTTTTTTAATGATGGAACCATGGCTTTGTAGCTATGATAACTTTCAATTCTCTAAATTTTTCCGCATGCCAAAGAAAACATTTATTGATTCAGCAGAAATGATGAAAAAAGAAATTAGACAAAACCGTATACAGGTGGATATCATCTAATGAGTTTATATGGCCATATTTTAATATTCTTGTGGTATATGGCTACACAGGATACTTTGTTAAGCATAGGAACTACATTTAAAGTGGCTCCAACAACCGTAATGAGTATAACTAATAAGGTGCTCCACTTTATGGTAAAACTGAAGTCAGCCTGTATCATTTTTCTCAAAAATGAAGCTGAAGTACAATAACAATATCCAATAACCGGCAAAATTCTAACTTGTCACATTTCAAATAATAACCACAAATATAAAACTACTCTTGAGTTGGGTAAATACCACAATTTTGCGGTGATAACTATGACATATAACAGCTGATTCGTGACGTCACGGATCTTATAACCAAACTGATAACTACACTCGCTTGAACGGATTGGTAAATACACAGGTAAATACCAACCCAAAATGGTAAATACCATTTCCATTTGGTTATCCGCTTGAATTTGATTATGGTAACGCATAAACTTATAGGTAAAAAAAATAATAGATGGCGCACCCAGTACTTCCTCGCGCAGTGGCGTACGAAGTAAAAGCGCTTGGCATTATCCTCCCGCCCTGTAAGAGCTGTTTAAGAAGTGAACGTCAAATCCCATATGTGTAAATGATCTTTGCAGAGCTTCAGCAGTAGTCTCAAACAGTGTCTTGCTGCTATAACCATCTCGAAGTTATTATTTTAAAAACTGAATAAATGTAAAATGGCATAAGCTGCTCACTCCGAAATTCAAAACATTTCTTTCTATAGATTCAGATACCCTTCATATAGCTCTTTGAATATGTTTGGTTGGTTCTGCCTCACTCTGTAGACCTGAGTTTAGGCTTAAACCATAAGAGAACATTGCTTACTGGGACTTGTAGATGTGGGTGTAGTTCCAGGTTGGTCTGATTGCTCGGTTTTTCCCGTACTTGATGGTGTTCCTCCGCCACCAGGCTGGCTTGGAGACGCCGAAGTTGAGTCAGCTGGATTAGTTGCTTTTCCAGTATTTGGAGTTCCACTACTTCCCGGTTGATTGGTAGAACTAGAAGGTTGATCAGGCTGACCACTGGTGGTGCCGCTGTTTTCTGATACCGATGTTGAGCCTACAATAGCCATGAATACAAAATGGTTTGTAGGGTGGAAAAGAAACTGTAACCACAATATTCATGTTTCCGTCGATCATTTGGTTACAGTATCTTCCGTGAGAAAATGGACGAAAATGCTACCGAAGCCAGCCAGACTGATTCTACTCATTTTCATAAAATCGGTATTACAGAGTCAGATAGGCCTTACGATGGAGGAATTTGTGATCAACTCCAAGCAGTGCCAGATCAAATAATACACATACCTTCATGTTGGATAATACAGAACACATGATAATATATAAGCAATCGGAGATAAGGCCGATCCAAATTATACTTCACATGTCCGAGGTCTGTCAATTAAGTGTGAGAGTGGCAACGTAGCGTTCGATCTGGCAACACTGGAGACGGCGGGCTTAGAAGGGAGACAGGGGAGCATGTGATCCGCCTTCAGTACAAGTTTGAACTTCCTATTGTGTTCTAATGAATGACATCGATTTCGAGGAATGGTGTGCTATTAGGTTTTGCTTCAGACTTGCTAAACAGGCTTACGGAGGTAGTGTTTTGTCAAGAAGGTTTGAGGCATTTTCGGAAAAGAGAGAGTCGATTGAAGATGAGCCACGAAGCGGAAGGCCTTGAACTTCATAAACCGATGAAAATACTTATAGAATCAGGGATCTTGTGCGTTCAGCTCCTCAGTTGACAATCAGAACGATCGGGGAAGAGTTAAATTTGACTCACGCCACCGTCCATCAGATCAAAAACAACTGAGTGTCGCATCACGATGATGCTCCTTGTCACACAGCAATGTCAATAGGCCAGTATAAACATTCCTGTGGCTCATCAGCCTCCTTATTCGACTGACCTGAGTCTTTGTGACTTTTTTGTCTCTCAGAAGTTGAAAAATTATCTCAAGGGACAGTCGAAAACATTCAAACGGTTGAAATTGGCCAAATAGTGTCCTTAGAAATTAAAAAATCAGTAGGCCCTGACGGCATACCTTCTGTATTTATAAAAAACTGTTCCGCTAGCTTATGTTTACCACTTCACCTAATTTTCAAACTATCATTAACTCAAAGAGTCTTTCCAACGAGATGGAAAGAAGGTGAAATATTGCCTATTCATAAAGGAGGCGATAGACATCTTGTGGAAAATTATCGACCTATCACTAAACTTTGTATTTTCTCAAAAATTTTTGAAAAGCTGATTTATGATCCTATCTTAAACATTAAAAAAAATATCATTACGGAACACCAGCATGGATTTTTCCCTAAAAGATCTGTAGAGACGAATTTGATGAGTTTTATAGAATATGCCTCTCACGCAATAGATGAGAAACTGCAGGTGGATGTTATTTATACCGACTTCAGTAAGGCTTTCGACAAGATTGATCATTCTATCTTGATGGAGAGACTTGCTGAGGTGGGTGTAGATGGTCCATTATGGCAGTGGCTAGCATCGTATATAAGTAATCGTAAACAAGTGGTGACTATCAATGGGTATCGTTCGGAGACATTCTTAGTAACTTCAGGCGTACCACAAGGTAGTCACTTAGGACCATTGTTATTTAACATATACATGAACAACCTTACTTCTGTTTTTCATTTCAGTAAATATTTGTTATATGCTGATGATCTAAAGATATTTTACTATTGTTAGAAATGTAAATGACGGTGTAAAACTTCAAAGCGATTTGGAATCTCTGCAAAAGTATTGCACTGAAAACAGTATCTTCCTGAACTTAACAAAATGTCATTACATGAGGCTTACTAGAAACATAGCGAACACTATAGATTTCAGATATAAGATAGGGACGGCAGAACTGGAAAAGCTTCATGTAGTAAAAGACCTAGGGGTATACATTGATGAGAAACTCTCATTCATCACCCACGTAGAGCACATCGTAAATGATGCAAATAGAATACTAGGGTTCATAAATAGGACATGCAGAGAATTTACGAACCCCAAAACGCTTCTTTCATTGTACTACGCTTATATACACAACAAACTGATGTTTGCATCAGTAATATGGAATCCATCTTACAATGTACATATAGTCAGGATAGAAAGAATTCAACACAAATTTTTGAAGATGTTAGCACATGAAACTCACCAACCTGTTACAGATCATCATTATACGCAAATTATGAAACAGTTCAATATGATTTCCTTAAAAAATAGAAGAACGATTTCTGAGATTTGCTGTGTCCATAAATTGTTGAATGGCCTCACTGACTGTCCGGATCTTTTGGCAAACTTGAACTTTAACACTCCTGATAGAACGTTTAGAACCTATCATCTGTTTAGAATACCGTTCCGTAGAACCAATCTTGGTCTTAATTCCCCTTTGGTCAGGGCTCAAAAAAATCATAATAATTTCTGTAATATAGATTTATTTAACATTAGCTTGACCTCCCTGAAAAAGGCTTTAAAGTATGAGTATTACAGCTCTATGGCAGACTAAAATAGAAATGTTTTATTTTTTTACATAACTCAAGTTATCACCTCCAATATCATTTCTGGTATAATTTCAATTTAATTTTGATTTCAGTTTTAATTAAACGTAAGTAAATGTTAAATTATCTATACTCCTTTTATTAAAAAAGTTAAATTAATAGTTTATTGCTTATAATTAGAACTACTCACTCAGTTTATGTTGTTACAACAATATCGGAGGATAAAAAAATATTAATATTGAAGTATTCAATAATGTAATATATGTATATGTATACGATATTTTATGTAAGTTTAGTTTTAGTTCACTGAGGGTGTGTGTTGGGTTTACCTGTTAACACCCCAAACTGTATATAAATAAATAAATAAATAAATAAATAAATAAATAAATAAAATTCCCAAAATTTTGAGAAATAGTTTATTTTGCCTTATTAGCCACCTTGTATAAACTATCCAAGAGACTGAAAAAGTAAGTAGTTAGGAACAAAATATGTATAATAATTTTTTTTTGACGGAAAATCCAGTACTCTATAACGTTTGCGGGAGTGCGAGTTGTTAGAGATCCTAAGAATCAGTTTATTTTCATTATAAATTAAGTCTACTCAGCCTTATGCAATAAAGACGAAAAGTCAAGAAGGTGTCCCTGTGCTTTTGTAACTCAAAAACTAGTCGTACAAACCCCCAACAATCTTATATCAAAAAAAGCACGTGAAAATGGGAATCAAAACTTGTAAAAATATACAGAGTATTCCATTGCCAAAATTTTGAGAAATAGTTTATTTTGCCTTATTAGCCACCCTGTATAAACTATCCAAGAAACTGAAAAAGTAAGTTGTTAGGAACAAAATATGCATAATAAATTTTTTTTATGGAAAATTCAGTACTCTATCCTCTATAACGACTGCGGGAGTGCGAGTTGTTAAGGATCCTAAGAATTGGTTTATTTTCATTATAAATTAAGTCTACTCAGCCTTATGCAATAAAGACGAAAAGTCAAGAAGGTGTCTCTGTGCTTTTATAACTCCAAAACCAGTCGTACAAACCCCCAACAATCTTATATCAAAAAAGCTCGTCAAAATGATAATCAAAACTTGTAAAAATATACAGAGTATTCCATTCTCAAAATTTTGAGAAATGGTTTATTTTGCCTTACCAGCCACCCTGTATAAACTATCCAAGAACCTGACAAAGTAAGTAGTTAGGAACAAAATATGCACAATAAATTTTTTTTTGACGGAAAATCCTATACTCTATAACGATTGCGGGAGTGCGAGTTGTTGAAGATCCTAAGAATTGGTTTATTTTCATTATAAATTAAGTCTACTCAGCCTTATGCAAGAAAGACGAAAAGTTAAGAAGGTATCTCTGTGCTTTTGTAACTCAAAAACCAGTCGTACAAACCTCCAACAACCTTATATCAACAAAAGCTTGTGAAATTGAGAATCAAAACTTGTAAAAATATACAGAGTATTCCATTCCCAAATTTTTGAGAAATAGTTTATTTTGCATTATTAGCCACCCTGTATAAACTATCCAAGAAACTGAAAAAGTAACTAGTTACGAACAAAATATGTATATATAAACTTTTTTTTGACGGAAAATCCAGTATTCTATATTCTATAACGTTTGCGCAAGTGCTAGTTGTTAGAGATCCTAAGAATTGGTTTATTTTCATTATAAATTAAGTCTACTCAGCCTTATGCAAGAAAGACGAAAAGTCAAGAAGGTATCTCTGTGCTTTTGTAACTCAAAAACCAGTCGTACAAACCCCCAACAACCTTATATCAACAAAAGCTCGTGAAATTGAGAATCAAAACTTGTAAAAATATACAGAGTATTCCATTCAAAAATTTTTGAGAAATAGTTTATTTTGCCTTATTAGCCACGCTGTATAAACTATCCACGAAACTGTAAAAGTAAGTAGTTAGGAACAAAATATGTATAATAATTTTTTTTTGACGGAAAATCGAGTACTCTATGGTGTATACTCTATAACGTTTGTGGGAGTGCGAGTTGTTAGAGATCCTAAGAATCGGTTTATTTTCATTATAAATTAAGTCTACTCAGCCTTATGCAATAAAGACGAAAAGTCAAGAAGGTGTCCCTGTGCTTTTGTAACTCAAAAACCAGTCGTACAAACCCCCAACAACCTTATATCAAAAAAAGCTCGTGAAAATGGGAATCAAAACATTTAAAAATATACAGACTATTCCATTCCCAAAATTTTGAGAAATAGTTTATTTTGCCTTATTAGCCACCATGTATAAACTATCCAGGAAACTGAAAAAGTAAGTAGTTAGGAACAAAATATGCGTAATAATTTTTTTTACGGAAAATCCAGTACTCTATACTCTATAACGATTGCGGGAGTGCGAGTTGTTGAAGAATCAGTCTATTTTCATTATAAATTAAGTCTACTCAGCCTTATGCAATAAAGACGAAAAGTGAAGAAGGTGTCCCTGTGGTTTTGTAACTCAAAAACCATTCGTACAAACACCCAACAACCTTATATCAAAAAAAGCTCGTCAAAATGATAATCAAAACTTGTAAAAATATACAGAGTATTCCATTTCCAAAATTTTGAGAAATAGTCTATTTTGCCTTACTAGCCACCCTGTATAAACTATCCAAGAAACTGAAAAAGTAACTAGTTAGGAACAAAATATGTATATATAATCTTTTTTTTGGCGGAAAATCCAGTACTCTAGCTATAACGTTTGCGGGAGTGCGAGTTGTTAAAGTTGAGTGTTTCTTTCGATAGGCTGTCGAAAATCCCAACAATAAAAAAAACCCCCATAGTATGTTTTATCATATTGCTCCTTTTAAAAAGGCCTATCCAAATCTGTAATAAAATGTAGGGCTTTCCAAAAAAATATATCTTTGAGTCACCGCGTTGTTGTGAGTCCCCCTGTAGAAATGAAGTTATTATCCAGCTCAGGAGCAGGCTTTTTTATGTACTATGCGTAATGACGGAGTTATCGGCTGAGCCCACACAAAAAACTCACTCTAACTAAATGGCCATTTTAAGTACAATGAAAAATTAATGTTGGTATACTTTGATTATTATCTGTCACTTGGAAGACAGGACCGCTTTATTTTTTTTTTTCAACAAAGATATGCGGAAAATAGATGAAGTACATTTAATTGGTAATAATGAAGTGACTTTTTGACGAAAACTAATAGCTGCACGTTGAATTCAAAATGTAGCACAGCAACACCAAACAGTAAACTAGCTTCTCTGTCTTCGAATGTTCGTCCTGAAGTATTGAATATCTGACAAAATATACAGGGTGACAGGTAAATAGGTGTAAAACATTTTAGGAGGTGATAGTACAGCTCCTTTGCTATCAAAATTAGTATATAATATCATACCCTATATTCAAAGGTTAAAAAGTTATGGAAGATTTAATTTTTTTTAAAAAACAACCCAGATTACAGAGTAAAATAGTTGAGATAAAAAAAAGTTGGTGATTAAACATTCTTTTTTTGGTGGTTTCAGGTTATTATTCAAATAAATAATTCTCATAAATTAAAAAACATATGAAAACACTATACAACGTTATTCGGTTTTAAGTATTCGGAATCTGTCGTCGCTCCTCGGAAGCAAGCTCTGCGTGTGTTATACACTGACACAGCTGACGGATCAAGGAAAGGGAACTAATGCTTAGGTTAGTAGAATATCAACCTTTAACGCGGTAGGTCGTACTTTTACTTTTTTGATCAGTTTTAATCATGGCGAGTTACCGTAACGAAGAATACGCTGATATTCTGTTTTGTTATGGTTTAAGTGATGGAAATTCCGTTGAAGCCAGGCGAGAATACGAAAACCGTTTTCCGAATCGGCGAATACCGAAGTCATCGAGTATTTGCTTCTGTATACCAACGCGTCAAGGAAAGTGGACAGGTTCATGAGAGACGTCATGATGCTGGTAGACCTCGGTTGTTTGACGACGAAGATCGAGAGGCAATACTGGAATGCTACGGCAGAGACCCGACGACGTCTACATGAGTTATAGCAAAGCAGCTTGGTTTATCTCAGTGGAAAGTTTGGTTCGTTTTGCATTCGGCGAGACTTTACCCTTTCCATTACACACCGGTTCAAGTATTGGAAGAAGGAGATCCCGTAAGAAGAATTGATTTTTGTCGATACATGCTTCATCGGGATCAAGAAGAAAACGACTATTTAACTAAAATATTGTGGACCGACGAGTCTAAGTTTGACAGAGAGGGGACAACAAATTATCACAACTTACATTATTGGGCCCCACGAGAGGCAAATCCCCACATGGCAAAGCCAAGAGCCCATCAAAGAAGATTTTCGGCAAACGTGTGGATGGGAATCATTCATACGTATCTAATTGGACCAGTTTTTTTGCCTGACAACCTGAATGGCGAATCCTATGAAAACTTTTTGAGAGTATCTTGAAGACCTGCCTCTGAATATCAGGATGCAGATGATCTACCAACACGATGGCTGTCCCGCGCATTTCCGTCTGGGTGTTAGACAGTGGCTGGACGAGAAATATCCTTGTCGCTGGATTGGCCGAGGTGGACCGACACCGTGGCCAGCGAGGAGCCCAGATTTAACACCATGTGACTATTATTTATGGGGGCACATGAAGTCACTGGTGTACGCTGAACCCATAGACACTCTTGCACAGTTGAAAGAAAGAATTATTGCTGCTGCTGACACTATCAGAGGACAACTAACTGGCCGCATCACGCGTACCAACATGAGAAAAAGACTACGGGCTTGCATAAGAAACGGCGGGTGTCAGTTCGAACAACAATTGCAATGAATTTTATCTTCATTTCATTATTGTATTTTACTTACCAATTGTAGTAACTTTTAGTCAGTTTTTATTATTCTGTAGTACAATTAGAACTGTGTAAATAATCTAATCGTGTAACTTAACTGTAGTTTAAAATAATAATTATCCCATAGCTTACAGTTACATTATTTTCACAAAAACACTTTCTTATCAATCAGAGAGTTGTGAAAATAGGAGACAAGCCATTGGTAAATTTACTCCCTATTGTTGTATTACAATACATTATGTTTAGTTTCACACAGTTTTTGTGCACTTATCATACCAATTTAGATTCCTTATGCAACAAGGATATTATTTAAATTGTTTGTACGTTTTTTTGTATACTGATTTTTCTGTAAAACACCTTTCTTACTGTAAAACGTTATTTGTTTTTCTTAGTTAAACATTTTTGAATGAAAATAAATACGTTGTTTGGTATTGTTTTCGAATCTTTTTTAATTTATAATAATTAATTATTGAAATAACCCAAAACCACAAAAAACAAATGTTTAATCGCCAACTTTTTTCTCTCTCGACTTTTTTACTCTGAAATATGGATTGTTTTTAAAAAAATCTTAAATCTTCATTAACTTTTCAACCTTTGAATATAGGGTATGGTATTATATAATAATTTCGATAGCAAAGGGGCTGTACTATCACCTCCTAAAATGTTTTACACCTATTTACCTGTCACCCTGTTATATACTGGTACTAACTAAATATTTCAGCATACCTAATCAGTTTTAACAAAGTATAGTAAAAGCTCAGATTCGTACATGTTAATATTCCTTGGCACCTTTTGGAAATTGCTTTAAGACTTTTGGAAGACTATGTGCATTTTTACTACACATTACCTGATTCGCTAGTATCCTGAGAAGTTACTGATGTTCCACTACCGTCTGGTTGAGTAGTAGCTCTTGATGGCTGACCGGATGAGGTACTAGTACTTGGTGTTATTCCATCACTGCCTGTTGTTCCTCCTTCAGAAGGTGTATTGACCTGTGGTTCTGTTGGTGTTAAAAAACGTGGTGTCCTTAAACCCTAAACATTGTGACTATTCTGGACTTTTAATCTAATAAGTTTTCTATTTCTTCTTTCCGGAACATTATTTTGAAAGTTCTGGTCATCCTCAGTAGTTATACTTTTAGGATATGTACCGGAGGCTTGCATAGTAACTGGCTATATTTTATATTATTTTTGTGTGTATTAAAATCCATATACAGTGGACCTCCGGTAATTCGACAAACATTATGCAGGGCAGTGTCGGACTACCGAATTTGTCGGATTATACACTGCCTAAGACCCCCTATAGTCCGGAATTTATTACAAAAGAGTACCTTGTAATCCGACAAATTACATATCCAATGGTAAAATTATATGTATATGTTATGTATATGTACTTTGAAGTACAAATCATACATAGTTTATGTATGCCGAATTTAGTAAATTAAATAACAATAGAGAGCTTACGTTTTATTATAAAATTAAGCATAAATGCACATACATATGTACCAAAATAATCAAGTATTATTAATCAAAATCATTAATGAATTTATCAAATTAGGAAGCTTGGAAATATTCATCATTTTTTTTTGTTTAAGGTTGTTATAACGCGAGATCAGAGCTTTGTCCCTCAGTCTTCTCAAAAGTAAAAGTTCGTTGTAGGATGTACCATTCTCTTCAGCCCATTGTAAACCTAGCTCAAAGGCGTTAATTGCGACTTGTGCTGTGACTTGTGGAGCAGTTGCAAATCAAGTCGTCGTTATTTTCCTGATTGTTTGTTTTATAATTATTAGAAACCTCTTTTATAATCTCTTCGTCAGACATTTTATGAAAAACATTATCCTCTTTATCCATTTCACGGCACCAGATTTCCAAATCTTCTGGACTTATCTGTATTTCAGTAGCGACTTGTTCTACAGTATATTCAGATAAGAGATAGACCGGATGTAAACAAAAGGTTCGGGTGATTTTCACGCTAACGCCGCCGTCTCGACGTAAAACAGGAGCCCTCATTGGTCAATTCGCAATTAAATGCCTATGCCGAGCGGCAGAGCAGTCGTATCAAGGCAGAGTCACATTCAGGTTCAGACGTGTTACGTATGTCGTGTGCATCATTGCAATTTGATATTTCTTTGAGCTCATATGGGCAGAGGTTAAAAATTATATAGCTAAGCGCAATACAACTTTTAAATTTTGTGACCTCAAAGGACTAGAATTAATAACAGCGCAAAAATGGGAAAACTGTATTAAGCACGTGAAAGACAAAGTTGAAAAGAGAATGTGGGAACTGGACAATATTTTAGAGGAACAAGTCGAGCCATTCATTATTGACGTTGGTGCTTCAGGCAGTAGCGATGATGAAAGCTCATCAAGCTCATCTTTCCAATAAAAGATGTCGTTCATCAAATTCGGTAAGTTATAAGTAATTATAAAGCTACTGTATTTTTTAATTAATTATTAACATTTTTGAACCCATTTTGGCAAAACCTATTCAAGAATCTACTTTCTGACAATGTTCAACCATGCACATTTTTTTACGTGTTGAACGTTTTAATTTGGTTACATATTTACCTAGAAATCAAAAAATATACTAATCAATATTCTAAAAGCAATTTTAAGAGATATAAGATTATTTTTAATTTAGGCTAATTTAAACGCCATTTTGAGATTATATTCGACTGTATTTCACCAAACATCAGGCGGCATCTGAAGCTGGAAATCGAAGCGAATTGTGCTAATTTACTACAAAGTTACGCAAAGCAGCATCTACTATCTAAAATATGTACTGCGTGACTCTTAATACGTCCCTGCAGAATGTTACAGCGTTCGATGATCACGTGGTCTTGTTTATGTCCGGTCTATCTCTTATCTGAATATACTGTATAACTTCCGAAGTAACACTGATTTGTGGAACGTTGCTAGGAGTGGTGAGTATATCTGGCGATAACTTTTTCCAAGACGATTTAATAGTTGTTGACGGTAACGCATTCCACGACTGACAACAAAAACCAAGTCTTTCATATTAAATTATTTTAAAGTTTTTCTATTGGTTGGTCTTTTGATACGGCTCTCAGAAGTAGGTTTTTCTTATAGTCTTGCTTGACAAACTGAATGATATTCTGGTCCATTGGTTGAATCAGTGCAGTGAAATTTGGCGGAAGAAACATCGCAGTGATGCATTTATCCTCAGTTGTTAGTTCTTCTTCAGACGGATGACCGGGAGCGTTATCAAGAAGCAACAACGCTTTTTGAGGAAAATTATGATCTTTTAACCATTTTCTAACTTCAGGTACGAAGCATTCATTAAACCACTTTTAGAAAAGGTTTTTTGTCATCCATGCATTTCTTTGTCCGTAATAGTGTACAGGTAAATCAATGTTTTTGAATGCCCGTGGTTTATTAGATTTCCCAATGACCATCATCTTAAGCCCGTGTGTGCCCGCAGCGTTAGCACATGGTAGTATGGTTACACGCTGTTTACTTACTTTTCGTCCAGGTACGGATATTTCGTTACAAGAAACGAAAGTTTTGTTAGGCATCACACGCCAAAAAAGCCCTGATTCGTCTGCATTGTACACCTGTGACGGGTCAAGATTTAAATCGTTCACCTTTTTCAAAAATCTTAATTTAAGGGGTTCTATGCAGATGGCGTCGTTAGAAAGTTTCTCTCCTGTAATAGTCATTAAACGTATGCCATGACGACTTTTAAAACGTTCTAGCCATCCTTTGCTGGCCACAAAATCATCTATTTTTATTTCCTTATAAAAAACTTAGCTTTCATGGCCAACATGAGTCCTGAAATTGGTGCATGCCTATTTCTTTCCTGAAGAAACCACATGTACAAAGCTTCTTCCTCTTCTGGATGTTCAGCTTTCTTGAGTGTCTGTCTCCTGCCTGGCCCGCAGTCAGTAATTGACACGAACTTCTTGATCTTCTCGTGGTTTCTTTTAATGTCATAAATTGTAGATCGGCCTACGCCGTATTTACTTGCTAAACTACTGAAAGTTTCATTGCGATTTAAGCGGTCTAAAGTATCACATTGTTCTTTAATTGTCAATGTTTTGTGCTTTCGCTTCTGAGTTTGTGATGACATTACTAGGTACTGTACTTAATACACAATGAATAAATAGTAAACAATGAACGCACGCTAGGCCGTACCGCTATCACAAGTAGTCAAATTCAAACTAAGTAAAAGAATGCTTACGCGTCGAGCACGATAGCGGTGGCGCGTACAAGTTGTAACCTGTTCAAACCTGCGTGATCTACATTAGCGAAGATTGTCAAATACGTATGTATGTAATACATATTCAAAGACATGTCGGATTACAGGGAGCGCCGGATTAGACAGGGGCCGGATTATCGGGGGTCCACATTGGCTATATTATGACAAGCTTCAAAATATTCAGTTATAAGGTAGTTGTCAGTTTTTTATGTGTATTAAAATCCATTCCTGCTGAAAATTGCAAAATGTCTTTTATACTCGCAAAACACAAGATTTTTCTTCTTAATCCAAAATATCATTGAGATGAATTTATGATTAATACTGGTATTAAGCCGTTTGAAGCAGAGACACTTCCACAAGCATTACTGTCACCACATCTTAAGGGTTATAAGGACTATACTACATACTATTTAAAACTGTAATGACTCATACGCGTGATCAACACGTGATCAGAGCTCGATCCCGGCTTCCTTCCAGTACAGCCGTATAGCATACGACATATGTCGTTTCTGTGGCTTTGCGGTGGTCAACAGCACAGACAGAGATGAAAATAATGGCTGATTGTTCTCCGCCGGTAGAACCAATGAAATCAAAGACGCGCCTCGACCGGCAGACTCATAGGCGTCGGCAACGCATTGGAACGTGTTTCGTTGAGCGATCGCATATTGTGTGTTTTTATAAGAATTGTTGTGTGATTGTTATTGTTGTGGTTTCTGTGGTTACTGTTTTGGTTATACTTAACCATGGAGAGTACAAATGGCACGAGTGGAAGTACTGAAAGCCAGGGAACAAGTAGACGGCTTCGTAAAGCACTGAAGAGGGACGCGAAAGAAATCGTGCTCAACGTGTTCAATTATCTGAACAGAACTATGTCGCAGGGAGATGCACTCGCGCGTTGTGAAAGTATGACAGGCGTTCCAGAGTGGACCATTCGCAGGGTGGTGCATGAAAAGAAGAAAACTGAAGCTACTACTGATCCAAAGTTTAATTTGAAGGGACGAAAGGCCGTTAGATTGGATGACGATAGCAAAATGGCGTTAAGGCGAACCGTACATTCATTCTTCTTTAGGAATGAGATACCAACGCTCAAGGCTGTAGATGCAGCGATCAAGGAAAATGAAATTATACCCCAAATGAGCGTCGAGGTAATGAGGAAATCCCTGCACGAAATTAATTTTCGTTACGAAACGCGTAATCGGAAGTCAGTATTGATAGAGAGACCTGAAATAGTCGCCTGGCGTCGAAAATACCTACGCGAAATGATTGAATATAGGCGACAAAGCAGAAAAATCTATTATTTGGACGAGACATGGGTAAATGCAGGTCACACAGTTAAAAAAACCTGGATAGACAAAAACGTACTGAGTAACCGACAAGCAAGCATTGAAGGTTTGTCAACAGGTCTTCGTGGACCGTCAGGGAAAGGTCAGAGATTGATCGTAACTCATATTGGTAGCGATAGTGGCTTTTTAGAAGAGTGTGACTTGATTTTCGTCTCTAAGAAAGGAGGTGATTATCATGACGAAATGAATGCCAGCTGCTTCGAGAGCTGGTTTCAAGGGGTGCTTCAGCGAGTTGAGCCCAACTCTGTGGTCGTCATGGATAATGCTTCCTACCATAGTCGTCGAGCCGGACGTGTACCGACTATGGGATCTCGAAAAAGTGACATGCAGCAATGGTTGCGCGAAAAAGGAATCCCGTTTGACGATTCATGTGTGAAAGCGGAATTGTATGAAAAAATTAAACAGCACAAACCTGCGAACATTAGTTACGTGACTGATGAGATGGCCCGTCAATGTGGTGTCACTGTGCTGCGGTTACCGCCCTACCACTGTGAACTGAACCCAATAGAGCTCATCTGGGCTCAAGTGAAGGGTTATATTGCGCGCCATAACACAACCTTCAAATTACCAGACGTTAAGGTTTTACTTGAGACTTCCATACAGCTAGTAACGCCCGAAGCTTGGCAGAATGCTATCCGCCATGTTGTGAAGGAAGAAACAAAAATGTGGCAGCTTGACCACCACATCGACATCATCATAGAGCCAGTTATAGTCAATTTCAACGAGGAAAGCGATAGCGACAGTTTATTACTGTCAGATGAAAGTGGAAGCGACGATGAATAAAGGTAATTCCCAAATTTTTTACTTACAATATGTTTCAAACCACCCTTTATTAAGCATGTGACAAATCTAGTTCACCCATGTTAAACGTTCATACCCCGCCTATGAACAGCCGACTACTGGTAGTTAAGTGATGTTCACGTGAACATCGATGAGTCATTACAGTTTTAGATAGTTATAGTATAGCTTGAAGGATTTCTATCCTTTCTTTCACTTTTATTCTACAAGTAGTTATACTTACTGCATATTAGTTGACATTGTTGCTGGCTACTCCGTATCTGAAGTGGATAATAGGCATCTACAAATGAATAGACGGTCTTAATGTAAATTTAGTATTCCGAATTATGTATTATTTGAAGTTCAATAGGACCATAGTAAATAATATTGTTAAGCTTTTCGAAATGGCATTCATAGAGAGCTACCCACTGGTTGTTATACATCTGCAAAAATTAAAAGCATGTCCCTGAGATTATCCCTATACACATGGTATCGACAACCATGTAGAGGGGAAAATGCAACTTTTTCAAAATTATTGCAGTTACTTATTGCACCTAATACACAAAAATCATATCATTACTTACCCGAAATTTCCAAAGATGCAAGAATTAGGACAAGAGCCCAAGCACCAAACCTAGTGAACATCTTCAAACGATAGAGCTAACTAACCAGAGCTATGTTAAATATACACCGAATTTATAGTTGCCAAAGGTATTTAAAAAATTGGCAAGAATTCACTTTATCATCTAGATCGAAAATATTTTTCCGCCTAATTACATACGTATTCGTTCTCCGAATTCTTTGTTAGAATATGCATGTAATTATGGATGCAAATTTCATAAATATATCCGCAGTATTTTTTCGAAAATGTTACAGGGTGTCTATTAAACAGCAGAACTCCCCGAAACTTTGACAAGCGCGCATCTTTTGGACAAAAGGTTTTGCGAAAAGTTTCAGGATATCAGAAAAATAATTTGACGATGATCTCAAATATGACCTAAGCCATTGATTTCCAAAGTGGTCTATATAGACCCCTGGGGGTCTATGACAACCTGCAAGGGGTCTATGTCAGCGAAAAACAAAATTGGGGGTCCATGAAATGAATATGGGGATCCGCGATAGTGGATCTCAACACATACACTGGTAGTACCTATTTACTTACATCATACTATCTTATAATATAAAAACATATACATTATTTATAAAAGTACCTATGAAGTAAAAAATTTATTATATATGTTTATAAAATTGTGTAAGTTGTAGGATGTTGGTATTCGCTTTGTGGTCGCAATACATTTTGAACTTGTAAAAACCTGAGAGTCGCAGTCTCAGAGCTTCGCTACCTTGCACTGACTTGTTCAATTCGTCACTCTATAAATACGAATGTGGGACAAATACGTTTATTCGTTTCCTGAATCTTGAAAAGGAAAGTGCTAAGAAAATATTTTAAAAAATATAAACAGATAGTATATCACACAAATTATAGTGAGTCAGTGTTATTTTGTTTGAGAGTGCTGGAGAAAAGTAAGTACATTATTTTTACTCCTTTACACTGAAGTACGCTGGCTGTCGAAAGGCAGGTTTGACAAGATTTTTTGCACTTTTTGAGACTATTTTAGAATTTCTGGATACTAAAGATAAAATTTTAAAAGAAAATTTAATGAAGAGGAAAACATACATCGCCCATTTAACAGATTTGTTTACAAAATTTAATATGGTTAATTTGCAATTACAAGGCGACAGTTTAAATTTGATTAAAACAAAGTCCATCTTATCAGCGTTTCTTGCCAGAGTTAAACTAATGAAGCAAAATATTGGACGGGGCGAATTTTCTCAGTTCCCCAATTTGTCACAGACAAGCTGCCAGGAAGACGACGTTTCAACTTACGATCAACATTTAAATGCCCTCTATTCAGATTTTGAATCTAGGTTTTGAGGATATTTTGACTATGGTAATACTACCGTGGATAATAATTAATCTATATGATGACATAGAAGAAACGAATGTCATAATACAAGAGGAACTGACTGAACTAAGTACAAACGAAGAACTTAAGGTTCAGTTTAAAAACAGATTCTGGCTGCAAAAAAACATACCCGTTACTTATCCCGTATTATGGAATATAGCGAGGAAATTTTTAATTTCCTTTCCATCGTCATACCTAGTGGAAAGGGGGTTCAGCGCTGTTACCAATCTCCGAACGAAAAAAAGAAACAAACTGGACATCATTGGCCGAGGATATTTAAGATTAACCCTTACAAAATTGACGCCAAATGTTGATAATTTATTATTAGAGCATCAGGTTCATCCTTCTCACTAAAAATATTGACTTATAGCTTATGCTATTTTATTTATAGTTTATTTTATGTTTATTGGTGTCTGACCAATAAATGCCCGCATTGGGAATAAGTGCCCGCATTGATTTTTTTAAAGAACCCCCCTTTATGGAAAATATTTTTTTTTAAATTATTCTGAAAATTCAAGGATAGGTACACACTAAAATTCGTTAATTTTTTGCCTATTTTTAGATAACTTAAACGTATAAGAAGCGGAATTTAATCAAACTAACAGTAAAATTATTGTAGAACATACGTTTATGTTATAATTAATAAACGAACTCGCTTATTGTACTATTTTAAGTAAACAACTTTTTTTTATTATTTTTCACTTTTTTTATTTGATCCCTCTTATTTTTTTTTTCAATGCGGGCACTTATTCCCAATGCGGGCACTTATTGGTCAGACACCTGTTTATTTAATTGTTCGTATATTTTACATAACAGATACAAAATTTTATTTTGAGTAGTTTTAATTTAAATTCAATTAATAAATGTATAAATTAACATGTGTTTTTACTTTAAGTTTTTAACACTAAACTTCACTACAGTTAGAAATTTACAGGAAAACAATATCAGGTAAGTAGGGAGTCTACCCAACAGGGAAAAACATGGCAAGGGGTCTACGACACAAAAAACTTTGGGGAACTCTGACCTAAGCAATGACCTCAGAGGTCATCAAGTTTGTAGTTAGAAAAAACAACTGCCATACACGAGGTCAATCAGTATGATCTACTGTATCATCAGAAAAGTGCACCAACTCCAATAGAACTTGGCAACCACGCATTTAAAAAAAAGTTTGAAGAAAAGTTTTAGGCAATTTGCCAATGGTTGCAAATATCACATAGACAATTACTTCGAAGGTCATTTTGAGGTGAATTTTGTAAATTCAAACAGCAAGCACCCACTTAGACAACAGATTCGTGCTGACATTGAGATGCTACATCACAGTGCATTTTAATGCATGAGGTCAAACGGTTCAATCAGTATGGCCTACTAATGGGTGATTTTTTTGCTAGTATCTTTTTGGCAACACTGTTTTTGACAGACGACGCGTGAATCGTATCTTGTGTCATTGTCAAAATTGTTCAGTTTGGTCTATAATTTAACCATGAGTCGACTTACGAACGAACAACGCTTGCAAATTATTGAATTTTACTATCAAAATTCATGTTCGGTTAAGAGAGTGCATCGAGCACTGCTTCCAATTTATGGGCAATTTGGTCGGCCTACTGAGGGAGCTATTCGGAAGCTTGTGACTAAATTTCGAACCTAGTTTACATTATTGGACATTAAACCACCAACACGCAGACGTAGAGTGAGGACTGAAGAAAATATTGCGGCTGTATCCGCCAGTGTTAGTGATGACCGTGAAATATCGATTCGCCGCGGTTCGCAGCAATTGGGCTTCTGTTACTCCACTACGTGCAAAATTTTGCGACAGGATTTGGGTGTAAAACCTTATATGATACAGCTGGTGCAAGAATTAAAGCCACACGACCTCCCACAACATTTCCAATTTGGTGAATGAGCGCTGGCAAAGTTGGAGGAAGATCCACATTTTTATCGAAAAATTGTGTTCAGCGACGAAGCTCATTTCTGGTTGAATGGGTACGTTAACAAGCAAAATTGCCGCATCTGGAGTGAAGACCAGCCAGAAGCATTGCAAGAGCTACCAATGCATCCCGAAAAAATCACTTTTTGGTGTGGATTATGGGCCGGTGGCATCATCGGGCCGTACTTCTTCAAAGACGTCAATGGCCGGAACGTAACTGTGAATGGCAAGCGCTACCGTGCGATGATAACAAACTTTATTTTGCCCAAAATGGAAGAGCTGGACTTGGCTAAAATGTGGTTTCAACAAGATGGTGCCACATGCCACACCGCACACGAAACAATGGCCATATTGAGAGGCGAGTTCGGTGAACAGTTTATCTCACGCTTGGGGCCTGTCAATTGGCCGCCTAGATCGCCGTTGGACTATTTCTTGTGGGGCCATGTTAAGGCTAGTCTACAGGGATAAACCAGCAACGATTAACGTACTGGAAGCCAATATTGAAGCATTTATTCGTGAGATACCGGCCGATATGTTGGAGAGAGTGTGACAAAATTGAACCTTGCGCATGGGCCATCTAAAGCGGAGCCGCGGCCAACATTTACAAGAAATAATCTTTAAACATTAAATTATATCGACCGTTCTATCGACTCAAATAAAGATTTAATCGTTTTTTCAAATTTTTTGTGTTTTTTTTGAAAATCAAATCCTATGCCTCTTAAAAAATCAGTTATAACGTTTGAAAATTAGACAAACACCCTGAAAAACACGCATTTTTTTGAAAAAAGGCTATTCTTGTCAGATGTCCTAGAACTTTTCTTTATCCTTGTTCCCAAAATACGCATGGTTGAGAAATGTTTAGGGTGTTCGTGTATGTAATGTATAAGAATTTTAGATACTTTTTAGATAACAGTGTATCATATTTATGCGTACAAGTATTAGGTACGCTTGCTTTAGTGAAATTGAAATTCGAACAAATCTTGCTTGAGGAAGTATTTATTTGAAATTGATTTTTAAAATTTCTCTCATCTCATTCCGAATATTCTGAACCCACGGAGCCAAGGTCGTATGGGCTTAGCCTTAACTGTTCTCTATAGTAACAGAAAGTTAGATTAACTACTCGTAGATTTTAAACAACCAAATCTGAAATTTGGTTTCGGCCTCATTGTTGCGTTATTCAACAAGTAATAAGTATATTAACAAATCGGTTTTGTATTATGTAATTTTTTGGGGTTTTATTTCCTTTTAGCGTAGAGTGGGATGAATCATATATAATATAAAAAACATTTATTTATTTCTTTATCATTGCAACACTAATACAAACATTTTTCGAGTTTTTATTTCTTCTAATAGAACGTGGCTGCTGCAACCTTATTTTTACCTTTAACATGAATGATTTTATAATCATCAGTGGGCTTCTTATCTCCAATAGGTCTGACGAATAAATAATACAAGACCTCCACAAAACTCAAAAGGCTGGCACCCAGGAAAAGTGCAGTTGCGCCTCCCATCGACACTGAAAAAATTTTAATGTAAACAGTGCGTTTACTGGTAGAACAAACGAGTACTGAAATACGTTAGCTGGCGCGTGTTGAATAGAAAATGTTCATCGTTTATAATTCGTTCACTCATATCTTCACAAAATTGTAATCGCCGATCAAAAACGTCTTCATTAAGTTCTTGTACCAGGTGAATTTTATACGGATGAAAACCAGGGGCCTTTAGAATCCGTTGGACAGTACGTCGACTAACACCACACGCAGTCTCCAATTTGCGGGTACTTAACGTAGGATCTACATAAACTTGCCCTAAAAACCCCACTTCTATTGTTTCGTTCCTTATGGGATTTTCAATGTTGCGTTTTTTACTGGCGACTGACCCAGTTTCCCAAAATTTAGCTACAAGTTCTAGAACATATTTTCGATGCACGTTACTGTTCTCATGTCTCTCATTAAATATTTCTGCTGTTCTATTCATTACTACTACTACTACCACTATAACACTACTGATTCACTGGACAACAAATTATAGTTTTTTAATTGTATCTTGTGGGAAAAGTGCACTTATTTGTTAATTTTGGGGCGCTGAATCCAAAAATGACAATGAAATAAAAAAATTAGTTGCGGTTTAGAAAAAAAACTTTTTATTTTTAAGGATATATTAAAAAAAGTAACAAGATTTATATACTTATAAGAATCACTATATGCGCTGTATTTTTGCTGTTCTTTTATGGATCGTTTCTGGAGCATCTCTACCAAGAGTCCAACAGTAGTCTGCAAGCATGGAAGGATTCCACTTTCCCTGGTACCTTTCTTCCATTGTTGAAATATCCTGATGAAAACGTTCGCCGTGCTCATCACTTACGGCTCCGCAATTGTCAGGAAAAAAGTCCAGGTGTGAGTGTAGGAAATGTATCTTAAGAGACATATTACAGCCCATCTTTTGATACGATGACAGCATATTTTTGACAAGGGTTTTATAGTTGTCAGCTTTTCTATTTCCCAAGAAATTAGTGACCACCAGACGGAAATCATTCCAAGCAGTTTTTTCAATACCTGTTAATGTGTTTTCAATCTGTGGCCCAACAAAAATACCTTCTTTAACCTTTGCCTCACTTAGTCTTGGAAATTTCTGACGCAGGTATTGAAAAGCTGACCCATCTCTATCTAATGCCTTGACAAAGTTTTTCATTAGGCCCAACTTGATATGCAGTGGTGGTAATAAATTTTTTTCGAATCTACTAATGGCATATGCTGTACATTTTTTTGACCTGGCTCTAGGAATTGACGAACAGGCCAGTTTTGTCTGGTGTAATGAAGTGCCTTTGCCCGACTGTCCCATTCACACAAAAAACAGCAAAACTTTGTGTAGCCTAGCTGCAGCCCAAGTTACATTTTGGAAGTTCTAAATCTCTTACAAGATCATTTAATTCTGACTGTGTTATTTTGTGCGGTTGGTGGCATGACGTGCTCGGTATAAAATCAGGATCTCTTGACGTTGATGGCATATCTTCCTGACGAATCACTCGATCGCCATGATCTGATTCGTTTTCTGATTCGCAAGTGTAGGATTCTGGGGGTTTTGGAATAGGATTTTCGTCACTGTGAGGCACAGGTCTCATCGCAGATGGTATGTTTGGGTAGTTAATAATCGATTTTTTTTTTGGACATACCTGTGGCTTGTCCAACACAAGGTACCATGCAAAATTAACAATCATTAATATGATTTGTAGGCTCTCTCCAAACCATTGGGACAGCAAAGCGCATAGACCGTTTTTTGCCATTTAACCAGCTCCTCAGACTTGAAGCACATGTATTACAGCAGATGTGGGGTGCCCACTGTTTGTCTTGATCACCTAGTTTACAACCGAAATAAAGCTGATATGCCTTTGTTGTTAGTGGAGTAATAGACCGTCTCTGAGACGCAAAAGACACATCACCACATACGTAACAAAACTGATCTGGATTGTTTACACCCTTTCGAGACATCTTGCATGAACGCTGTCAGCCAACTGAGGAAAAATGGCTAATATACAACAATATAATGTACACGTATGTATAACGTAACACAATCATGCCGATTACATCATCTTTCCTTGCCGAATATAAAAATGTAGCACGTGCATTCTTGTGAATTACAGTATATTAACACTGTCACAGCAGGAACACATATAATTACCGTATCTCTAAAACTTGTACTAATATTGAAAAAATAAGTTTCAATCCGGTTTTAGCACATTAAAAATAGTAATATTTTGTTGATTTTATTTAGGATATTTTCTGGCTGTTGATCAGTGTTATTTCCGAAAAATATTTCGATAATTTCAACTCTTTCTGCTGTGGAATATACCATGGTTAATTTATGTAATAAAGCCTTACAAGTTATTTTAGTAACAAAGTTTGGTCAAATCAATCGCAAACTGTGTACTAAATTCCTATTTAAAATAAGTACGAGAGATTTCCTTATCTTTCTCCAAGAAATAACTTTTTTGCCACAAAAAAACGCTCTAATAGCTATTTTCAACAACAAAATGATAAACAAACCATGGGCGTAGTGAAGAAAAGCATTTACTTATTAAGTAAATTCTTTTAGTCAAATTTCTTCTGAAAGTAGTACAAACTAATCTGATGTATGTACCTATTAAAGTTTACTTTAAGCTTTAAATCAATAAATCTTCAAAACTACTGAACTGAAGCTCATGTACTTTACATCATTATAAAGGGAATTGAAAGACCTTTAAAATAAGGTATCACTCGACCCCCCTTTCCATTTAAGATTTTAGGGTTGGTGTCACCCCCGCCCAGGGGGCTGCACGTGTTAACGTGATTTTTTGCCAAACTTGTGTCCCCCTCGAAAACAAAATAGACGGGTCTGAGCGTTTTTCCAAAAAAAAAACTGAGCTGCTAGTAAATGCGTCTGTTTCGTTTTCGACGCGCCACCCTGTATGTCACTTCGTTGAAAAAGCATCAATGGATTAGTTTCCTACGAGAAAATATTCACATGTTTCAAGAATTGTGTGTCAGGTGACAATGAGTACCGTTTAGTCTTCTTGAGACACCTCAGTTTGACGTAGGTTATGAATACATGATGGATTTTGTAGTTCTATAGTTAACTCAGCTTAACTTACCGACTAAATCCAGCTTGCCTTTCACAACGTTTCTTTTAAATCTCTCTGTTGGTAGCCTGTCCAAAATCAGCTCAACTACAGCATACTCCGATAGAATTCTACAACATCATTTCTTATTACCAACATAAATAATGAGAGTTGTGGCTTTGGTCGATAAAAAGATATAAAAAATAAAGAAAATTACTAACCCTTCAATATCATCTCTGAGGACAGACAGTTCAATTTCAGTACAACTGGGTAAACATTCACAATACAGTCCAGTCTTGTTGGCCCATTTTGCTTTTAGTATGCTTAGTTCGTTATAGTTTGCGCTGAGACATCTCAGTCCATTAAACTTACATTGATTTTTGAAGGCTGAAAATTATTTCGTTAGTAGCCCCACCCAAACCTTATTCTTACGAGTTTATTATAATTGGCTAAAAAATGTTTGAGAAACATATTGAAACTGGTTAATTTCCCTGTAATACTTATTAAATGTGTCATGTCAACTAGTATACAGTCACTTTTGTAAAAAACGAGCATAGTACTGAAATATAACTAAATTCATTTTCTAGCGCACATACTGGGTGATTCTCCAAGGTGGCTTAGCCCTATAACTTTTTTATTATTGAAGATAGAAAAACGAGATTTAGGGGTTGCGCATTATAGATGAATTAAATTGTTTTGACATATTCACTTGCTTTGACGTACTTCCGGTTTGACCGGAAACGACTATAACTTTCGATTTTCAAATGGGACATACTATATTTTTTTCCAACAACTGTTGCAATGAATTGGACATACCCATTAGTTCTCATCTTGAAGGTAACTTCATCCTTTTCCTAGTTGTTGTATAGACTTATAACTTTTAAGTTAGACGAAAAAGTTACCCAGAATCTTTTACTTGAAGGTGAGGGGCATTAGCATTCACAGAATATATAAATCCTGATCTACATTTTCTTCTACAACAGGGCTATCATTTTTCCAATTAGCCTGATCAAATAAGTCTTGTGGCGTTTCTAGACTACAGTCAATTTTTCGAGCATTTCATTGTTTTTCAAAAGCACAGACCTTGCTTTAGTGTGTTTGTCATTCTTTAGATCATCTCAAAGCGCAATTAAAAAATTCAGGATGTCATAGATCCTGAAACTCATCATTCTCACTTTTTTTTTGTTTGATATGGATATTATATCATACGATGTACCTCAAGGCTCAGTATTAGGACCCATTTCATTTAATCTATATATCAACGATTTGTTCAAAATAAGTAGTACAGGTAAAGTTATCGGTTTTGCGGTTGATACAGCTATTCTCTATGAAAGCAACCAGTGGCATACACTAAAAACCACAATCGAACATGCTTTCAAAACATTTATAAATTTCTTTTCGGAAAGAGCTATGACAATTAATTACAACAAAACACACTATAAAGCATTTTCTTGTAACGACAGGCTCTCACCACAATTTAAAAAACTTGAAGTTCGTACAAGCAGTGGTCTCAAAGGAATTCAGTCAGCCGATAAAATAAAATACTTAGGCTTGATTTTGGACAAACACTTAAAATGGGATATCCATACAGAGTACCTTTTGAAGAGACTGAGATGTATTATTTCAAAATTCAGGTACTTCAGAGATAAGAAATATCTATATAATCTTTATTGTGCTCTTGTTTATCCTCTATTACTTTACGGAATTTTGGCTTGGGGGGAGTTATGAATAACAATTACAAAAAGGTTGATGTAATCCAAAAATTAATTCTAAAATGTATCCTCCATAGGGACATTACTTATTCAAGTGATTTTCTATATGTGGAGGCTCAGCTATTAGATTGCAGACACATTTATTTTTATTGTGGTCTAATACATTATTTCAAATATTCGAAATACTTGAATCGTACCATTCATAAGTACCCAACAAGATTCAATCAAAATTCAATGTGTATTCCACAAACATCAAAAACCACTACACAACGATCTCTGTTTTTCTTGGGACCAAAATTCCAGAACTTCATACCGGAGTCATTAAAAGTAATTAAATCAAACAAATCATTTAAAAAAGAACTAAAAAAATGGATTTTACAACAACCAAGGTACTCCATCCACGAAATTGTAGATCTAAAAAATCATTATCAAAATCAATAATATTTTACTTACACTAACATCCATACTTTTACTTTAGTTATAATTGTCCGGATATTTTTCCTGACATTACCACAATAATTCACCAAATTATACAGTATTAACGGTTTTTTTTTCTCATACACTGACTGTACTATTAGTTTATATTTTTAACAAACCCAAACACAAGTGCAAACTTTTTTTGGGTGCCTTATGTTTATTGTGCACAATATTTGATATTTACCTGTATTTTGTGACAATAAACATTATTATTATTAAAAAAAAGACTATTTACGTATGTGATATGTGTTGTATAAGGTTCACATTAAGCATGACATTTTCCTCATGATTTATATATTTTTCTTACTGGTATTAGGCATAAGATGATGGGCACATCCACACTTATTCATCTGAGCATCTTTTCTGCACTGCACTGTACAAGCACTGTAGCTGTAATATCGATATACATCCAAATCTGATTCATCGTTAAATCTACATTTCCTTTGCCTTATATTGACATCTTTCACCTAAAATATATCAGTTCATTTTTCTAAATATGAAACATAGAGTGATTTTCAAAAAGAAGTTATCTTTTCAACGGATCAGGTGTGCAAGCTGAAATTGGGGATGATGAAATTGAAGCATAAGTACTATATTTTAACGTAAAAGTGATAGTTGAAAACTTCATGAAAGGGATAGAGGATCATGTGACTCATCTTTCAAAATTGCGGACTGTCGAAGTTGAGCTTTTTTGTACATTGAGTTGATTGTAACTCAAAATATGGCACATCAATCTTCGTCATTTGGATGGGCGTGTGTGAATATGCATTAAAATATGGGGCAGTCTGTTGAAGAAATGACAAGATTGACAATTTTTTTGAAAGGGTTGATCCATCTTTTATTACAGATTCAGATAGACTCTTCCAGAAGAGGAAGATTGAAGTAATATATTGGTAGATAAAGATGCTTTATGGCCTGAAGAGTACACACAAAGCTAACTTAAAACTAAACTATAATATAATTATTACATAAGAAGATCGTAGGTAGATGAATTGTAGAACTCCCACAAGGTATAATATGGTTTACATGTTAAAACGTTTTTGAATTTACGGCGGAATATCTTTAAATTGTTATTTCAGACACATATGAATTTTTAGATTATACATTATTAAGTCTTCCACAAGTTTTGTTTTAGGTACTTCTAATTTGAGATCTTGTTTTCATCTAATACACAGACACACAAAAGGGAATTCTATATCTGCATCTACTTTCAAATAAGGCAAGGTAACTGCTTATGTCTGTGTTTTTCTCTACGTTCTAACTAATTGTTCTTATAATGAATTTGTCTACATGATTAGTAAAATCTAATTTATGATCAATGGTCGGTCTTAAACATTTAAATGTCACAAATTTTGTCTTAATAACAGTGTCACACCATTTTTTATTGATTGTATATCACTATCAATTTTTGTGTGGTATCGTCAGCAAAAACTACAGATTTGCCATGTATGCTTAAATTTCTTCAATCGTTGATATAGACTAAGAATAGGATCGGACCTAATACTGATCCTTGAGGTGTCTCTGTGTTTACATACAATTTATTCGAAATATAATGTCTTAATAATTTTATAATTTGCTTCCGATTGTTTAAATATGTTTTAAACCAATTGAGTGAAGTTCCAGTACAACGATATTTGGTTAATTTTTCTAATAGCATATCACGATTTATACAGCCAAAAGCTTTGGAAAGGTCGATAGAAGAGCTATTGAAATTTATTCTGACGAGTAGTTCTTGTGTGATAAGCGATTCAGTGTACAAAAATGCTCAACTTTGACAGCCTTTTTGAAGATACTGAATCTACGAGCCCCTTCCCACTTCAGTTGGCCCACTTCAAGATTTGTACCAAAATATGCCTTTATGAACTAAACATGAGGACACTATTTACTTCTAAAACAATTTATTTTCTCAAAAACCTTTTAGATACACTCTACTCGTAAAAAATACATATTTGAAATCACTTAGAACTATAACTAATAGAACATCTGAACAAATAAACAATGTGCGAATAAATGCGCGAAGTTAACAAAGCGACAATTGAAAGATTACCATTGGGTAACATCACCTTTATTTTTTATTACGGCTGAAATTCTTTGGGGCATAGTGTTAACCAAGTTTTCGCAAACATTTGGTGTAAAACAATCCCATATTACTTGAAGCTTTTGTCCCAGCTTGGTGATTGTACGAGCAGGATGTTGTCGTAGAACCTTTTTCATCTCGTGCCACAAAGTTTCAATAGGTGACAGATCTGGACTGCTAGAAACCCATTTCAAAAATGGTACATTATTTTGTTCCATCCATTTTATAGCCTTTTTTGAGCTATGGAACGCCGCACCATCTTGCTGAAACACAAAATCTTGGCCGGATGTCAAACATTCTTCCATCACTGGTAAAAGCGATTCTCCTAAAATTGCCAAATATTTGTTTGTATCCACATTTTCATCAATAAAATGAAGTTTTCCTACTCCTTTTGATGACATACTTCCCCACACCATAATGGATGCTGGAAATTTCACTTTTCTCTTCAGACAGTCAACATGGAATGCTTCATTTTTTTTGCGAATAACTCTACTGCGACTGACACCAACACAAACTTCGAATCGGGCCTCATCACTCCATTGTATTGCACACCATTGTTGAGGTGTCCATTGTCTATGTTCTTTAGCCCATCTAAGCCGATTTTTCTTTTGCAGTGGAGTTAATAGTGGCTTTTCTTTGGCCTATAAACAAGTTGTGCAACTTTGGGGTTTTTAATTCACTTTTTTTATAAGAAAACTTACCTTGCAGGTGCTAAATCCCTGTTTGTGGGCCTCTATATGATTTGTGGACCTCGAAACTCTCCTTCCAACAGCGTCACTCCACAGAGCACTTAATTGAAAATAATTGGCACGCCTGTTTTTCACGATTATTCTTCTTAATGCTCTTCGGTCGGCATTTGTGATATTACTTTTTTTCACATATCGTGGCTATATCTTCTAACAATATTTATCACACTGTACAGCGATAAGTCTAACAAAGTTGCAATTTCCGAGTTTGATTTCCCAGAATTAAAAAATTTAATTATCATTAACCGAATTTTCTCACTAATAACCTTTCCTCTACCCATTTTGAAAACCTTAACTACCCAAAACTATTTTTAACGTATTCTGACAGCTCTGATTATTAATAAAAACAATTGTCGTGGCTTTTATTTTTCACAGCCACCTATGCGTTATAGACTTATTTTGCATTGAAATGAAAATAGGTTGATATGCTCTAATTGCAGCATGTGTTATTTTTATTGCAAATTTGATTAGGGAGTGATAAAGTTGGTGTTTTCTACTATATATTATCAAAATATTCATTGTTAATGTTTTAAATCTATAACATGCTACATTTTTATTATTTGTGTTTGATAAGAAAGAAACTAAGATTTCAATAGTTGGGCCAACTGAAGTGGGAAGGGGCTCGTACGACCCTAACCCCAGCTGTCAATCTCAATTTCCTAGCTATCAGTTTCAGGCTATAATATATTAATTTCGCTACCCCAAACTTGCTAACGTACTCTTGCAAAGAATTATTGAGGAAAGGCAATCTTTTTGCCGTTGGCTATGTATTTCCAAAATAGTGTGGTTCTTTCATTTCTTCACACCTACCTCTGGTTGATTATCAATCTCCTTGATAGTAAAGTATCTCTTCACATGCATGTGTGGTGTTACACTGAGAACATCAGCTGCTAAGCTTGTTAATGTTGGAACATCTTGCTTTCCAAACATGTACACCTGTAAATATAATTTCATTCGAGAACATTTTACGTTATGTTCCGGCCTTGTCTTGTTAATAGATCAGGTGTAGTCTTCCGTTTCCCGACCAAACCTACTAGTTCAAAGCGTGAACGCACCGAAAAAAAAGCGGTAACCGCGCCCTCCCAACTTCCTCCTCCCTGGCCCACAAACTCCCAATTTGTACCTTGATAACCAATACCTTACAGTTTGATAAGAGATTAAGATATAATTTTTTGATTTGCTATAAGTCAGTCGTTTACCCAAAATGTTACCAGCGATGCAGGCTTCAGATGGTGTTTGAAGGGCGTTTACGAACTGAGACCGAAATATAGCCCCGCTTGAGATACTGTGGTTATTCTCAACCATCTAGCGGGGTTGCTGGTGACATATTAAGACTGAATCCAAATTCAAGATGACATGTAAATAATATACTAAGTGACATATAAAAAAAATAAAAACATAACTCAATATCGAAATTTTTTGGATTGCAATCCATCCTCGCCAGTAGGCGTGGGAAGTTATTCTTCTTTTAACCTTATGTCAGTTAATTTTGGAAAAATAGACTTTGAATGTAAACATTTTTTGTAATTCGTATCAATGGCCTTCACAAAATTCTTCGTTAGCTGAATTTTATATGTATACTAAGTGACATATAAATCCGAACACCCAGTTTAAATGGTTTTATTTTAATAAAAGTTGGTGAATGTATTTATCTTACTGTAAATAACAAGTGAAAAAATTTTCAGCCTTATCAGTTGGACATTCCGGTTTTTATACTGCTTTTTTTTAATTCACTAACGCTCTAAAAATGAATATTATTTCAGCCGCAGTAAAGAATCAACGTTGGCGGATTTTGGTTCTTGATATCCTTTACGATCGGTTACGATGCCTAGAGTACGGAGACCTGTACGATTTCGTCAACTTAGTGAGTTTGACAGGAGCCGTATAGTGGGACTTCGGGAAGCTGGACTTTCTTTTCGGGCAATTGCAGTTAGAGTGCAAAGAAGTGTAGACACTGTGGTTAGGTGTTGTCAGGCATGGCTTCGAGAAGGCCGTACGCAAAGAGCAAGGGGCACTGGACGCCGCCGTAGAACAACAGACCGTGAAGATCGCCGCCTAAGATTATTGACCTTAAGGGACCGTTTCTCCACTACCAGGTCCATTGCAAATGAATGGTTTGCAGAACACGGAAGACCTATTGGCATGCGAAGTGTTTACCGACGAATGAGAAGTTTTGGCTTGTTTTCATACCGGCCACACTGGGTCCTCCCTTTAACTCGAGAACACCGACGTAATCGCTTTGAGTGGTGCAGACATCGGTCACTCTGGGATCAGGAATGGAACAGTATTGTCTTTAGTGACGAGTCTCGATTTTGTTTAGGCATGCACGATGGTCGTGCCAGGGTTAGAAGGCGACGTGGTGAAAGGAGGAATCCACAGTTTTTTGTTGAAAGACATGTTCATCACACTGTTGGAGTTATGGTTTGGGGTGCTATAGCTTATGGTTCCAGGTCACCTTTAATCTTCATCAGAGGTAGCATGAACGCGCAGCGTTATATCCACGAAGTTCTAGAACCCCATCTTTTACCTTATCTTGACACCCTGGCAGATCCAACTTTCTAACAAGATAATGCCCGACCACATGTTGCAAGAGTCACAATAGACTTCTTTCAACATAATGATGTCACATTGTTACCATGGCCACCAAGATCTCCCGACTTATCCCCAATTGAGCACGTGTGGGATATGATGGGTAGGAGATTGCTCAATTTGCAACGTCCTCCTCAGACTCTAGAAGCACTTCGAGAGGAGTTGGTGGTTGCCTGGAATGAGATATCACAGGAGGACATTAACCACCTGATCAGAAGCACGCCTAGGCGCATTGGAGAATGCGTAGCACATCAGGGTGCATCCACACATTATTAAAGGTCAAAGGGCTTTAAAGCAGTGCAATCATTTTGAAATTTTTATCATTTACTTATCATGCTTCATTAAGTACTTATACAAAATTTTATTAAAATAAAACCATTTAAACTGGGTGTTCGGATTTATATGTCACTTAGTATAACAGTTAGCGCCTGATCTCTCGGTAATAGGTGGGGACAACGCCTCTTATTGGTCAATTCGTCATTAAATTTCAAGCGGTCGCCTGGCGGAATAATGCGCGGGGCAGGGGTAGGGCAGGCAGAGTTGCACTCAGGCCACCGTCCGTCGCGTGTATCACTGCGTGCTCGTGTTTTCGTATTCACTTTGCTTGGTTGATGCTGTTGTTGTTGTTAAGTGTATTTGAGTAATTTGTTAAGTTTCTGTTGAATACTGTCATCTTTGTTTTACAACACGTTGGTGGTAGTCCATCATTCGGAGGTAGCCCTGAATGCGGCCCTGTACGCCGTCCTTGCTTTTGGCAATCACGCATCCATTCTATCCTGGGCTGGGTGTAAATACACTATAGATATTTCGATGGGGAAATCAGCAACACTGCTAGACCTAACCTCACGTTAGAGTGTACAAACTCTGCCCCTAATTGAAACAGACAACATAAACTATTACTACTATAACATCCGGATCGGGTTGAATAACATTGGAATTGTGATTTCTCAGTTTTTGAAAACCTCGGGGCCACTCATGTTGCTACCACTTTTAATTCTATCGTATTTTACGCAAAAATATCTGTTCCTGTGCCTCTGTTCCCACTATATGTAGATGGATAAAGGCTGTTTTATCAGTTAGTGGCCTAGGTGTATTTTTTATTTTTAAACCTTTGTACGTCGTACTACCTATTGTTAAAGGCCCTAACTTTAGTTGTTACAATGGAACTGAAAATTTAGTTGGCACATGCATTGCGTACAATTTGAGTAGTTGTATACAACGTATCGTTTACTATTGCAGAGCGTTAGTAGTATGTTGTTGCAGCTCGCTTTGAACATCTACATATGTTCTATTTACGAAACGAGGCCGGAACATAATTGTATGATCAAGAGAACTTACCTGTAAGTGATGTTAGATCTTAATTAAGTGAAGGCCTCGTCGAAGTAAATAGCTCCTTCTCTCACTACGTATCACCCAATTGTTGCAACAACTTGGCTTCGAAGAAAATGAGAGTTTGTCGGCCAGAGGCCGAGTAGGGGGAAGGTGGGAGGACCCGGTTGCCGCTTTTTTTTACTGCGTGGGCGCTTTGAACTCGTGGGTTTGGCCGAGAAATGGAGGATTACACCTGTTCTATTTACTTCGCCGAGGCCTTCACATAATTAAGATCGGACATCACTTGCAGGTAAGTCCGTTTGATCGTGTAATTATACAGGGTGTTTCAGTTTATTGTTGCATAACTTTAAGATTTGATAGAACTTTTAAAATTAATGCATAAAGTCTATATAAACATGGGTCGAAAAATGCGTGGCTTCTGAAATACAGGGTGTTTAAATTTACTTTCTAAAATAGTTTTTTTTTAAATATTTCGAACAACATTTGATGTATAACAGTGAAAATTGGTATACAAGGGTTTTTTTGGTACAACAAAACGAACCATGGCCATAGTTTTAATGTAGCCGCTAGAGGGCGCTCTCTACTGTACCTGTAGTGTATTAAAATGACCGAAAATTTTTTCTTAGTGCAATTTTTTGCTTTTTGAATAAAAAAACTGATTCTTCGCACTTTTCAACAAAAAAAAGCTCTCTTGTGAATTTTCGTTATAGTTAGCCGTTTTTGAGATACTCTCTATTTTTAAGGTTCCATGCATTTTTAATTATTTATGATAAAATAACGTTAAAAAGTCAGTATCTCGATAATTTTTAGAAGTAGGCTGTGCCTGCAAGTATTTTTGAAATTGAAAGCAGAATAAGGTTAAACGTCAATTAGTTGACAGTTGGTTCTGTTGTCTGTTGAAACCTGAATCGTTTTTATGCAATTGTGAATGCACGAAATTAAGTTTCTTTTACCTGTTTTTTTGTAAGTTTTATAAAAAAGCCATTTTTATTCTCCAATCAAGAGTTAGCGGATATTCATTTTGTGTAGGGCTTTGTAAATGGAAACGCAGCAGAAGCAGCCAGAGAATACGCACGAAGATTTCCAAACAGACGACATCCAACTCGCTCAGTATTTGTAAGAGTGCATCGCCAAATAATTGAAAATGGCTTTGGAAATCTCCAAAGGGATCAAAACATAAATGTTCGTCAGCGCAGATTTACCCGTATGATTCTGCGTGAGTTTGATAGAGATCCAACCACAAGTGTTAGCAGAGTTTCTGGTGCCTTGGGAATTTCAGCAAGCCATGTTCACCATGTTCTTAGAAATGACCATAGACGTCCTTACCATTTGCAACCTGTGCAAGGACTACAGCCAGGGGACGGAGAACGAAGAATCACATTTAGTCAGTGGATTCTTGATAGAACTGATAATAATAGGGAGTTTTTAAGTAACGTTTTATGGACTGATGAGTCATGCTTCACTAGACGTGGAGTGGTAAATTTCTTACATATTTGGTCGCATGAAAATCCGCATGCAGTTCGGGAAAGAAATTTTCAGCATGAATTTAGTGTGAACGTGTGGATTGGTATCTACCGTAATCGACTATTTGGACCCTACCTTTTGCCTGCAAGCTTAAATGCTGCGACCTTCTTGGAATTTTTAAAGGCTGAACATGCAAATATGTGGGATGACGTTATGTTAGATTTAAGAAGATTGGCCTGGTTCCAGCTTGATGGTTGTCCAGCTTATTATTCGAGAATAGATAGAAACTGGCTGGACGAAAATTATCCAGAAAGATGGATCGGCCGTGGAGCACCAGTCGCCTGGCCTCCACGATCCCCTGACCTAAATCCATTAGATTTCTTTGTGTGGGGATTTCTAAAAGAAAAAGTGTACCAGACTCCCGTAACCACAAGAGATATGCTAATAGACAGAATCAGGAATGCATGTGATGAAATAAGGCCTTATTTGAATAATGTGAATTGTGTATTGAACAATTGGGTTTACATTTCGAGCAACTACTTTAGATTTTGTATGTTTGTCCTAACTGTCCAATAGCATTTTAGTAAATAATTAATTTAATTTGTTAAAAATAATA